TTTTGGACATAACGAATTTAAGGCTGTTGGAGATGAAAGTTTGGAGGTCAGCCTACAGATTGGGGTAGGATAGAGGTGATAATTAAATCCATGGGAGCTGATGAGGTCACTGTACAGAGGGAGAAGAAAAGAGAGCTCAGGACAGAAACTGAGGGACCCAGATGGCTAGAGGGAGTGATCCAGCTCTCTGTCCCCACCCTGAGCCCCCATATCAGGAACAGAGTGAGGCTTCTGTGACATGCACAGGGAAAGCACTTTCTCTATACCACCTTAAATGCAGAGCTGTTTCCATAGTCATTCTCTCAGTCTACTGGGGGTGGGGGTAGGGAAAAGGAGGATAGAGGGGAGAGAGATAGAGACTAAGAGATAGAGAAAGAAGGAAGGGGGAGAGATTGATGGAGGGAAAAGAAAGAGGAAGAGAGCAGGAAGGAGAGGAGGGAGATGGAGAGAGAAGGGTGGGGGGATGGGGAGAGAAGGGGAGAGACATGGACAGAGACAGAAACTGACAGAGATCAGATGGAGGGGAGAGGAAGAGAGGGTGATGGGCAGAAACATTGTTCCCTGGGATCTAAAGTTCTTTCCCTCAGACACAGAATTCAGTCCTCTGGGCATTCAGGACCAGCTAAAAGAATTCTTCCTGCCCCCAGCTGGCAGAGCTAGGCTGACCCCCCCCCCAACACAAATGCTACCCATCCCTAAGCCCCCGTAGACTGTTGGAGCCTAGATTTAAGGGCCAAAGGAGCCAGTCACCTCCCTTTACAGATGAAGTCACTCACCATGAGTTGGGCTCAGAGGGTGAGTGAGGGTGAGGCAGCTGGGATTCAGAGCCAGGCCCCTTGAATTCAGCCCTACATTCCATTGTCTGTCTGCAGGCATCCAAAATCACCTCCATTCCCCAGGAAGGCATGGAAGGGCCCTGGAGGAGATGCTCTCCAGGTTAACATGCATGTAATCAGTTCTGTCCATCACTAGGCACCCACTTCACACATAGGCCCCCAAGCTTTTCCCCATCTGCTTCTAATCCAGGCTCTGGGTTCATGGTCAGCTTGCGCATGTAGGGGTGACCTAGAACATACATTCAGTCATCTCATTTTATCCAGGGCCATCCCCACTCCCAAAGTCTTGCTTGGCACTGCATGGGAGGGCACTGAGCCCCAGGCTGCACAGACATCCTTCCCCCCCCTCCCTCCCTCCCTCCCTCCCTTGCAGGGGAAGGCCTTGTCTGCATCATCCAGCACTCATTCTGGGCTCTCTCCACACCTCAAGTCAGATCCATTTCTTTTCCTCAGCACTCATTCCCTGGGGTCCTCTCCCTTTCTCTTCGCACTACTTGACCTCTGCTGCTTAGCACTGCACCAGGTGTCTAGGCTGGAAAGCTAGTGGCCAGAAGGCTGTGTCTTTCCCACCCAGCTGGCTGGCTCCCCCTTCTGGACTTCTGCCTGCCCTCTTCAACATCTATCTGAAGATATCTCACAGATGTGTTGTGAGCTTTCCCGGGGATGCTATGTTTGTTGACTAGACCCCCAGAGGGCATGCCGAGGCACTGTGGAATGGGGACCTTTGTGCCCTAGCTCTTGCCTAACTTTCAGACTTTGAGCCCAAGAGAGATTTGGCTTCTCACACACTTGCTGGCTGGACAGTGGGGAGGGATCTGTGGTCCTCAGACTCTTGTTAGCAAAATCTCATTCAGCTTAAGTGAGAAATGGGGACCTGTGAACTGACAGACCATTTCCTAGCTTTCCTCTCTCTCCTCTTTTGTCTCAGGTGGGGAGCCAAGCATTATTTCCCATTTCAGAAAGGCAAGAGAGCTTTGTTTAGGATAACTCAGTTCCCCATTGGCTGGAGGGGTACAATTGGGACTCCAGTGCCCTCCTTTTGGGGCCAGGAGGCCTCTTGGTTTTGAGGAAAGGGATTAAGAGCTACAGCCTCTTCTCTCATCCCCCTAATTTCTTCTCTCCTCCCATTGGCCTTCTTTCTTACAAGCTGATATCTCAAATCCTTCAGGGTATTCCTAGAACTCTGAGGTGAAGATGTAGCCAGACTGGCTGTGGGATAATGGGGCAGGGAGGACTTTCTTGACATATTTTACAGTTGAGGTAACTGAGGCCCAGGGAGGTTAAGTGATCTCTCCAGGGTCACACAGCAGGGGCACATGCCAGGCAGGATTCAAACCCAGGTCTAACAGAGGCCCCAGCCTGTGCTGTGGCCAGGACATCACACTGACTTAAGCTGTGATAGGCCCGTCCCCATCCTCGGTCCCACCCCAGTAGCCACTTGGATGATTACCTGAGGATTCCTAGGCCAACGCGGGATTCACTCCCTTCTTTAAATCCCAGCTTGTCAGGCTCTTGGCCAGCCCTTGCAGGCTGCTCTGGTAGGGAAAGTTCTGGGACCACTGAGACTTCCATACAGAGTAGGCCCAGACAACAGCAGGCAGAGCCATGTCTGGGTACAAATGGTTTTATTTAGAAATCAGGGAGGCGTGAGGACCGGACAACATGCAGACAGCAGAGCTGGGGTGAACAGCGCCTTCACTTCCCCAGGAAAGGCAGTGCCATCCCTGGACTGAGTCTCTGCACTGCCTGCCCTCTCTGGTCCAGGCTCAGGGTGGGTGGACCTGGGCCCAAGACCAAACCCACAACAAAGCAGATGGGCCCTGTGGTCCATTGGGTGAAAGGGGAAGCTCCCCCCCTCAGGACACACAAACACCTGCAGGCGAAGACAGTGAGTGGGCCTGAGCATTGGCCATGCCAGTGCAGGCCGAGGAATCTCAGCTAGAGACCGGCTGGGGTGGGGAGAGGACCAAAAAGGAAGGCTGTGGAGGCCGTTTGCACACACAAAGGGACAAACCCAACATCCCAGAGTTGTTTTAAACCTTAAAACCAATGAGGACAGAGAAAAGGAAAAGGTAACAGGAATAAGAGGAAGACATTGGCAGCAGAGAGGCTGGGGAAGAAGAATGTGTAAGGCCCAAAGGAGGGACGCCTTGGACTCTAGGTACTGGCTTGGTCCAGTGGCTTGTTTGAAACCTGTTTGGGGCTCACAGTTGGTAATGCTGCCAAGGCCTTCCTCCCTGAGGGCTCTGTTCTGCCTTCAGGTCAGAATCTCGTGTGGGTAAAGATATTTTCTTCCTGGCTGAGGGAAATCTGGATCGGCTCCCTGGCCAGGCTGGACCCAGCTCCCCTGGTGTCTGCCATACCCTTCATGCTCATTTCATCCCCAAAGCAGGCTATGTATGGACTCACTAAATCCCTAGAGCCAATCTCCCGAGATAATGGGATAGGAAATGGAGAGAGCCTGTGGGCTCTCAATTGTGACATCAATATCACGAATGGTAGGGTTCGCACCAGAATCAGGACTCCCCGAGAGGAGAGACTACTTTCCTCAGAGATCCTGGGCACCCTGAAATGAGAATAATCTTGGCCTGACTCATGGGACGAGGTAAGTTTTACATGAGGAGAAGGTATTCATTCCAGAAGAGATGGGACTGGAGGGAGGCTGGGGTCATTGGTTCTGTCTCCGAGGATGATGAGAAGCTGGTCTTTGCTCTAAGCAGCAGCTAGGCACTGACTGTCGCAGGTGAGCTGGTGAGCATGCATTGAGGCCAAAGTGGGGTGCCAGGCCACTTTGTAAAGCCACTCTGGGGGAGAATGAGTCCGGGGCTCTTAGAATTATTGGAGAAGGGTATTGAGAACAAAGCTGCGCAGGTTAGTAGATGGAGAAGGGGAGGAGCCACAGGCAGCCTCTCTCCTGCGTCTGTCTTCTGTGTTGGGCTGGGAACAGCCACCAGGGTAGACGTTAGCAGTGGGAGGAGCCTCATGCTTTCTTTGAGCTTAGTCCTGGGGCTGTCTGTCACGCAGACACATGCCTTATAGCAGCGTCACTCATGCAAAGCTGTTGCCCACTTGCACAGGCTTGGTATTTCATTGGCCTGTTGGACCCCACACATGGACAACATAGACAGTGTCCTCCACTGTCCCAACAGTGGTCTTCCATCTCTCCAGAAATGGGTGAACAAGTACTTCCCACCCTGTTCGCAGTGGGGGCAGGGCTAGAGGCACCCAGTGACCCGCCAGAGGGAGTCATAACCAGAGATGCCCAACAAAGACCCCAATCTTCCTGTTCCTTGTGGAGACTTGAGCCTCAGCTCTCCAGTGTCTATGCATGTGGTGGTACAGAGCATTAGGAGCCCACCCCTGGAGCTCAGGAATAAGGCATGCTGGCCAGTACTGAGCACTTTCTGGGAGCCCTCAGGAGCCTAACTCAAAGCTGACTAAAATCTTCATGGGTGTACAGCATGGTAGGGGCAGATGTGAGCTGATTTGGAGGTGGGCAGGAGGCCCACAGAAGAGCTATTTCAGGGTTCAGGTGGGCTTCGGCACCCTTGGCAAGCAACTGTGGGACTCTTGCTGGAACACAGCCTTGACCTCCCTGTTGCTGGACATGGGGTGGGGGGGGCAGCAGGAGGCATTGTCGATCAATGATGAGAAATCAATTTGATTTTCCAGAAGAGGCTTGACCTTCCCTGGCCCTGGATCTGGGTGCCCAGGGTGGCCCTGGCCCGTGGGACAAAGGGGCTTAGCCCTCCACCCTCTCTGCCTGTGGCTTTCCAGCTGAACTTCTCTCAGAGGGGAGCAGGGAGACACTCAAGGAGCCAAGGGAGCGAGCAGGGGCTCAGGGAAGCTTGGCATGTCCTTGGCAGCCCAGGAGCCAGAAACAAGTGAGTGGCTAGAGGGTCTTGCTGCTGTAGAGAAGAAAACAAATAAACAAAGGAAAACCTAACAACAACCAGGGTGAGCCAGGGCCAAAAAGGACATGTGGCTGACAGTTTTCAGCTGTTTTTCAGTCATGTTAGACACTTCGTGACGCCATCTGGGTTCTTCTTGGCAAACACACTGGAGTGGTTTGCCATTTCCTTCTCTGGCTCATTTTACAGATAAGGAAACTGAGGCAAACAGTGTTAAGTGACTTGCCCAGGCTCACACAGCTAGTGTCTGAGGCTACATTTGAACTCAGGGAGATGAATCTTCCTGACTCCAGGACCACATGCTGTCCACTGCACCACCTAGCTGCCAGACACCAACCACCATAGAGACCTGACTGTCCTGGGCATTGTCCCTTGACCCCTCAACCCCGGCCATTCTCTCTCAGTGCCTTCACCCCCTGGCTGGCACTAAAGCTTCTCCCGGGCTGCACTCTGGAATGCTCCAAGGGACAGAGGAAGGGCCTAAGAAAGAGGGCAGTAAAGCTCAGGGGGTAGGAAAGATGGGCACTCAGGGACAGTCCCAGAGGTGAGGCAGCCTTCCCTGCCACCTCCTCCCTAGCCCCGGCTTTGGAATCTTGCATGTCCTATCAGCTGCTACTGAAACGTGGCCTTCATGCGGCGCAACGTGGCCTGAATCTTCCGGGAATGTTTTTCCCCGGGAACTTGGTGGAAGTTGGCCCGGTTGTCTGCAGCCAAGAGGGAAATGTCGGCTCCGCTGAAGCGAGCAATTCTTTGCTTGAGGTACGACTGAAGCTTGTGGTCTGCAGCAAAGGGGTAGGGGTTTTCTTGAAATGCGTGGACCTGGCTCACCACCTTGGCAATGTTCCTTGGATGGAAAAAAAAACCAGAGGGTTGGGCGGAGGGCCTAGAAGAAAGGTAGCTTCTCTCCGGCATCTAGCCCATACTTCCCTGCCCATCAGCCTGGACTCCCCACCACCCCCTCTGCTCCCGGGCATCCAGGCCAGACCCCTCCCCCCACCTCCAGGCATCCAGCTAGGTCCCTCACCCCTCCAGATATTCAGTGAGGACTCCCACCTCCCTCTTTGCTCCCTGGCATCAAGGCCGGCCTCCCCCCCCATCCAGCCCAGACTCCCCTCCCCCCAGGCATCCAGCCTGGACTCCTTGCCCCCTGCCCTGGGCCTGAGGGCCTAAGACACCTGAGTTTGCTCCACTTGTGAGCCCCATTAGTCATGGTGAAGCCCCCAGTCTCCAGCTGCTGGATGTGCATGGCCAGAAGGTGGGCAGATGGGATGGTGGGCTGCGTGCGGAACCTTCTGCCTTCCATCAAGCACATGCTGTCACTCTTGAGGAACACCTAGAGGAGAAAAGGCGTATTCCTGCTCTAGGGGAGCTCCAGGCTGGAGCTTCCTGGGTGATGAGGGATTTTGCCTTTGGGTTTTGTTTGTGTCTTTGGATATCCATGGGTCAGCATAGTGCCTAGCACACAGGAGGCACTTAATAAATGCTGCTTCTGGCTCATTTGTTCTTTCCTGACTTGCCCATCCTTCTGTCCTCAGGGACCCAGGATCCTAGGGCATGATCCCAGTCACATGGTGGGCTGAAATGATGGCCATCTACTCTGTGTTTTGTAGGTATGTGCACAGTTGTTTACACAATGCCCCCTATCCTTTCTTGATGTCTCCAGAGCCTAGCAGAGTGCCTGGCACAGAGCAGGTGCCTCCTCAGTGCTTATTGGGATAAATGATGCATTACTGCTTTTCTTTCTGTCAGCCAAGACTGGGAACCTTTGGGAAGAGGCAGCAACACTCTGGTTCCTCGTTGAAAGAACTTTCACCATGCCTCACAGCCTTGATCCTACTGTGTGCACTGACAGCCCCTCCAGCAGATGAGTGCCCTGCCCTGGGGCACCCAGTAGGTATGCAGCAGAGCCAGCCAGCAAAGGAAATCTAAACCCACCCATATAATTTCATGATTTGACTAGAGTGGAACAATGAGGGCTCGGGTCCAGGGTGCAGACATTATGGGATCCCCCACAAATGCAGCTATATAACCTCCCTACTTGGAGGCAGCCTCTCTGCTTCCCCTGACTCTCCCAAACCCCAGGTACAAACAACTCTGGGCCATGGTTCTAGGGCTCTGGGCCTCAGAGGCCTGCCTCATCCCGGGGAAGGGGCCAAGTCTATCTTCAGTACCTCCACAGCTTTCAGTTCCTCCATGATTTCCGCAATCTTTGCTGGGAGGATTTTCCAGGCCTTTAAAAGACAACAAAAAGAAACCTCATTAGCTAAGTCCAAGAAGCTGAGGGAGCCAGCTGAGGGAGCCAGCTGCCGAGCCCTCCCCCCAGCACCCAGGCACTCCTCACGCACCGGCAGCTGCCTCACCAGGAGATGCTCTAGGCCCCCCAGGATCTGCATGGCTGTGGAAAAATTCCTTTGCTCATAGGAGGCCTTGGCGACCAGCAGAAACTTGGAGAGGAGATTCACCTGCAACTGAGACAGGAAACGACCCAAGCATCAACCAGGCATGACAGGGAGGGCAGGAGGGTTCAGTCCCCCAGACCTCAGCACTAGCTGCTTTCCCCTTCTTCTCCCACCTCAGTCGGCATTCTGCTAGGGCACAGGTTCACAGACAAACTCAATGGCAAACTCAAGTGGCAAAAGGGGCTGGGGTGGAGCGGGGACCCCTTGAAGCAGGTGCAGCTTCCCAACCTTTGGGGACACCCACCCGAATGGACGTGGACCCCATCATCACAGCTGAGGGACAGCTAACTTGTCCTAGGGCTCCTGGCTCAAGCTGTCTTCTTTTTTCTGGCTTTGGAGCCATTGGCATGGTCGGTTGGCAGGGCACCCAGGAACATGGGCCACCAGGCTCCCATAACTAACCCTTCCATAGAACTTTCAGGGTGGCAAAGCGCTCTCTGTTCATGTTGCTTCCTTCAGTCCTCCCAAGGACCCTGGGAGGCTGGCGCTATAATTATCCCCATTTTACAGATGAGGAAGTTGAGGCTGAGAGATGCTAACTGACTTTGGGGGTCATAAAGCCAGGAAGTAGCAGAGGCAGGGTTTGAACTCAGGTCACCTAACTCCAAGTACAGCACTAATGGCCCGGTGGGGAGCCCCCACCCTTTTTCTGCCACCCAGAGGCAAGCACAGCAGTGAAGGTCTCTGCTCTTTTGTTTCCCAGGGACCAATTAGTGATTACCTGAGCAAACAAAGAGTCATTAGTCCAGAGAAATTGTCCTTCTAGGAAAGGGCCTGGTTGTCAGCAGGCCTGTTGTTCCTTTCTTTCATCACTAAAAGACTGTCTCACTCTATGCCCTCCTCTCTGAGGCTTCCAGCACCAACCCCTCCCCTCCCAGCAGTAACTCCCCCCCCTTTTCTTTGTAGAAGACAGGCTTCCCCTAGGTCGGATCTCCAGATTTCTCAGTCATATTTCCTAGAATGGTACAGAGGGCAGATGAGTCTGGAAGACGTGGATTCAAATTTGCCTCAGTGTCCTCCTTGGTCAAATAAGAGGGTTGCACTCAATGACAGCTTTAGGTAGTGTAATGGATAGTCAGGGAGACTAGAAATCTCAGATACTTACTGTGTGACCCTGGGCAAGTCACTTAATTCCCTTTGCCTAAGTTTCCTCATCTGTAAAATGAGCTGCAGAAGGGAATGGCCAAGCACTCTAGTATGTTTGCCAAGAAAACCACAAATGGGGTCACAAAGAGTTGGACATGACTGAAATGAACAGCCACAAAAACTAGTGAAGATATATCGCCCATGCTAGATCTCAAGTCCTCTCCTTGGTTTAAGGATCTGAGGAGGGTCCCCTTTCCCTTTCCTCCTCTGGGAGATCCCTCCTTTTTCTATCAACTCCTCTCTCAACAGACCTGCAGCCTCTCCTCATCTACTGGCCTCTTCCCTGTTGCCTCCTTCATCCCACCAGCTGCTGCTGGTCCCTTCTGACCTGTCGCAGCATTTCCTCTCTTCTTACCACATCCCTGTTGACTGGGGGGTCTTCAGGGGATGCTGATATTTGGACTTTATTGATAATGCACTTTGTCTTCTGGGATGGATCTGAACAAATGCTCGAGCGTGCATTTAGCTCGTGGATCTTTTTGAATCCTTAGTCAATATGCATTTATTAAGCCCCTACTTTGTGTCAAGCTCTGTGCTAAACCCTGGGGATAGAAAGAAAGGCAAAAGAAGGTCCCTGCCCTCAAGGAGCTCCCAGTCTAACAGGAAAGACAACGGGCAGACTACTAGGTACAAACACATTCTACCCAGGATCAACTGGACAGGAGGTGCTGCTGGAATGAATGGAGTTTGGGAAAGGCATCTAGCAGAAAGGAAGTGCCCCAGCTTGGCAGGAGGCACTACTGGGAGGAGCCTGGAATAGCTGGTGGATAGCAGGGAAGAGAGGAGGGGCCAGGCGGGGAAGGGCTTCATCCCTGGACCCAGGGTTCTGTGCTTGCCCCTGGAGGTTATTGAGTAGGGTGGGGTATGACACAGTCAGACCTGTGCTTCAGGAAAATCCATTTGGTGGCTTAGCAGAGGAGGGAGGAGAGGAGACAGACGGGGGGGAGGGAGCAATCCACCTTGCAATTACTGCCACAGTCCAGGAATGAAGGGAGAAGGGTCTACACCAGGGTTGGGAAGGAGGGTACACATGAGGTTGGGGTAGAGACAAAGGGGCTATTCCATTGTTCAGTGCTTTAGCTTTGTGTTCATTATTCAGGTCATTAATAAAATGATTCAATAACACTGGACCAAGCCTTGGTCCCTGCAGTCCTCCACTGGAGACCAGATAGACCTCAAATCCTTGACCACTACTCTTTGATTTCAGCCACTGAACCAGTTTCAAATCCAACCAAGTACAGGAGGGCCCAGCCCACAGTCCACAGTTCATTGTATTAGAGACTTAATCACTCATTACTTTTACCTTTACCAACTGCCTGAAGGGGAAGGACCTGGGCCTGTACACATTAGGAGCCCTACTATCTGCTGACACTCCAACTCTAGTCCTCACCCCTGGACTTTCGGGCAGCTCTCTGCAGGGTCACCCATCATCATCTCTTACTGGCTGGCTCTGCAGCCTCCCGCACTATTGCTCGCCCTGCCTCTGCTAGGATTCTCACTGAGCATCTTTCTGGGCTCTCAACTTGCTGTCACTTGGCTATATAGCCCCTCAGTGCCCATTGCTGAGTCCTCCTCTTGATCCAGCTCTTCTCCATGTGATCCCATCAGCTCCCTCTCCATGCAGATTGCAGGTCTATGAGCTCAGCTTTGAGCCCTCTCTAGTGCTGTCCATAGCCCCCTTCCTTCAGGAGGGCATTGCAATCTCTAGATTCAGCCCTTACCCAGACCCCACCATTTATGTAAAGGGTAGGACCAGCCTTCTCTGGTTCACAGTCTGAAGATGAGGGCAGCCTTTGTTTTCCCCTAGGCCACTACGGGGCACAGTGCAGCGGATAGGCTGCTGGCCTTGGAGTCAGGAAGACCAGAGTTCCTAAGTGGGTGATGTGAGTAAGTTGTTACTTTCAGCCTCAGTTTCACCATCAGCAAAATGGGGATAATAGTAACAACTACCTCCGAGGGTTGCTGTGAGGATCTTTGCAAAGTGCTATGGTAATACTAGTTATTATTATCTCCTGCTGAGTCTTAGTGATTCACAATCTATTTCAAGTTTAACCCTCTCTGGTCACTCACCAGACACCATCCTAGTCCAGGTTCATTCTTGCTTGGACTGTTCTGACAGACTTTTAATTGAATTCCCAGCTTTCTAATCTCTCCCTGCTGTTCAACATGAGCTCTTCTCAAAACAGAAGTGTGACTCTCTGTGGTTCCTCACCTGCCCAAAAACCTTGAATGGCTCCCCTCTGCCTTTGGGGGAAAATGAAAACTGCTCATCTCAGCAGTTGAGAAGCCCCCCCTCACTGGTGTCAGCCACCTTGTCCAAGAGCCTCACCACCACTTCCTTCTAGGCAGTCTGACTGACCAGGAATGTCCTGTCAATGCACTGCTACTTCTTACAACAAGGTTCAGTTCCGGTCATCTCTTCCCTTCTTCAGCCTTTCCCAATCATTGTTAGTACTCTCTTCTTCTTTAGATGATAACGTCTCGCCTTTGGGGTGGCTGTTACTACTTCAGGGGCTGAGGGTAACCAAGTGGGTGGGTGGCTGCCCTCCCTGGTGTTCATTCCCTTAATCGGCCAGCAGCCTCAAACCTTTGGCAAAGGCATTTACGTAAATGGCACAGCAAGGCTGTCCTTTGTTTTTGAAGAGGGTCCAGGACATCGAGGGTGACTTCTTGCCTTGTGCATAAATTGGGTTTGGGTGAGGCAGAATTGTTTGAAGTTGTCAGCCTCACTCTCTTTTCCAGAGTCACTGAAATCCAGCGGCAGGACAAAAGTCAAGATGGCTGGTGATGGCCCAGGATGCCGTAGATGACCTTGGCGTCAAAAAGAACACATTGCTCTAATCTGCCCATCTATATGCTTGGGATGGACATTTCTCTAACTCATTGACAGGTTTGAGGCCTGTTGGCTACCCTCAACCTAGTTTAGCCTGCCTCAGTTTGCCAGGGTATGGCTGCTGTGCATGCTACAGCTTCTTGCTGCCACAGGTGGGTGATAGATGGACACCAAAGGTGGATGAGTAGCCCAAGAAGGCTCAGCAAGCCCTCCCCCAAGAGGTACCTGTCTTCCTGAACACCCCATACGCCCCACTTATACCACATAGCTAGCAGAACAATCACAAAGTCCTCCTCTCAACACCAAGGTCACATGTTCTCACACATACACCCAGACTCCAGGAGGTAGGAAGAGTGGGGATGAAGCTAAGGGATGGATGGTCCACGTGACAGGCTTGATCACACACTCACAGTTCTGGGCCTCTTGGGCCTCCATTTCTTTTCTCTCTTCAGAGGGTTCTCAGGAAGTTCTGTCTGAGTCTCCACGCCATTGCCAGGCTGGCCCTTCGCCTCTATGGCTTGGCAGCTCTGCCCAGTGCTTGGGTGTGTGTGGTGTCTCAGGAAGAAGGGCCAGTCTGCTCCTGGGCTGGGCTGACTCCTCACCAGGCAGTGTGCTCTTTCCACTGGGCTTGCTCCTGGCTTGGGTAGCCATGCCTGGGCAGGGCACTGGACTCTTTTCAGTTGATGGCAGCAGGCAGCTACAAAGCTCTTTCAACAGATCAGAATCTTCTCTTTCTCCCTTTAACTCCCACAGGACCTAGCTCAGAAGCTTTGTCACCTCCACTCAGGAGATAGGAGGCTCCTATCTGGGAGATTCTAGGTGGAGGACTAAATGCATAGTGCCAAAGACCTGAGTTCAAATCTTCCTTTAGCTGCTCAGCTGCATGACCCAGAGCAAGTCAGCTAACCTTAACCTCTGTCTGCCTCAGTTTCCTCACCTGTAAAATATAATTTAGGGTTATTGTGAGAAGAAAATGAAATACTTTTTAAAAATGCTTTTCAAATCTTAAAGCACTATAGAAATGGCTTTTGTTGTTCACTTGTGTCTGACTCTCCATGACTCCATTTGGAATTTCTTGGCAAAGATACTGGAGCGGTTTGCCATTACCTTTTCCAGATCATTTTGCCCCTGCCACCCTCTGGACCACCATCTCCCTGAAGCTTTTGATAGAGACAGCCCAGGACCCAAGAGCCTTGGGAATAGCCTCAGCTTCCAGCCCAAGGCCCTCAGCCATCATCCTTGCCTTGTGAATACCTTATTTGCCTAAGAAAAGAACAGTTAGTTAACGATTTTGTCTCCTGGACCTAGACTACTGTCTCATCTTTGCCCTTGGCCACTCATCTACATAAGATTCCTAAAGGAGTATGGGAGGTAAAAATGTGTGACCTGAAATGAATTTCCCTAAGACAACAGGGAATGGCAGGAGAAGGAAGAGGAGGAGGAGGAGGAGGGGGAGGAAGGGGTGGGGGAAATAAGGGAGATGAGAAAACATGCATTTATTAAACAACTGCTGTGTGCTAGGCACAGTGCTTAGCACTTTACAAATATTGTCTCATTTGATAATGGCAGGGGTGGAAGGGGCTTATGAGCTAGGGATAGTAATAATGAATAATAATAGCTACCATTCATATAATAGGCAGCTTGGTGATACAGTATTTAGAACACTGGACCTGGAGTCAGAAAGACCTGAGTTCAAATCTGGCCGCAGGCAGTTATTAGTTCTATGACCTTGGGCAAGGCACCCTGTTTGCCTCAGTTTCCTGATCTGTAAAATGAGGTGGAGAAGGACTTGGCAAACCCCTCCAGTATCCTGGCCAAGAAAGCCCCAAATGGGGACATGAGTTGGACATGTCTAAATTGATTGAACAGAGCTATCCCCAAGGCTCTCCGGTCAGGGTCCTGGGCTGCCTCCACAGGGCCTGAAGGGAGATTGTGGTCCAGGGCTGGTGGTGAACACACATGCTGCTGCCTCTTTTCCCTTCCTTGGGGTGACTCTTGCCTGATGTATAGGGCGTCAAACAGGTAGGTAAGTGCTTGCCATAGATTGCTGCTGCCGACCTCAAAGGAAGGCACTGCAGAGTTTTAGTCACAGTGAGACTAGCCTTAGAAGTGTCTGGTGAGGTCCTCCAGGAACTCCTGTTTGCAGATGCCAAATCTGCACCTAGCCCATCCAAGCCGGATGCTGCAGAGAAGCCAGCTGTCACGTCTGAAAGCTGTTATGGAGCTCTGGTGCCCCCTCTGGTCAAACTGAGAATGAAACAAAGGAGCCTGGGCTTGCTGACATCATGAAGTCAGCCTGAACCTCCCTAGGGCCTCCAGGGTCAAATACAAAATCCTCTTTGGTCTACAGAGCCCTTCTCCAGCTGTGGCCCCCATGCCCAGCTTTCCAGCACTCTCATACCTTACTGCCTACTAGGGATTCTTCCCTCCACTGACCCTGGTGGCCTGGCTGTCCCACCAACAAGACCCTCCACCTCCGGGCTCTGGGCATTCTCTCTGGCTCCCCCCCCTCCCCAGCCCCTCCTCCTGGAGCACTCTCCCTCCTCATCTCTGCCCACTGGCTTCCCGGCCTTCCCACCTCCGTTTCCCAGCCCCCACTTCCTTCCAGCCCTTTCCCTCTGTTAAACCTTTCTTATTTATCCTGTATAGAACTTGCATGTACATAACTGGTTGCTTCTGATCTCCCCCATTAGATTGTAAGCTCTGGAGGGCAGGGACTGCCTTTTGCCTCTTTTGTATCCCAAGAGCTTAGTACAGTGCCCGGTGTTTTAGTCCTGTCTGACTCTCTGTGATCCCATTTGGGGTTTTCTTGGCAAAGATAATGGAGGGGTTGGCCATTTCCTTCTCCAGCTCATTTTACAGATGAAGAAAACTGAGGCAAAGTGACTTGCCCAGGGTCACACAGCTAGGAAGTGCCTGAGGTGACATTGGAACTCAGAAGACTCCAGGCCCAGTGCTCTAGGTACTATGGCACCCCCCAGTTAAAGAGCATATGCATCTAGTATTCCTAGGTGGTGTCCTATCCCAGTACGAACCAGGCCCAACCCCACCCAGCTTCTGAGATCTGACACAGTCTGGCACATTCAGAGTGGCATGGCCATAGACAGCAGTAGGCGCTTATTGATAGATGTGAGGAAGAGCTGTCCCACAGTGGAATCGGCTGCTGTGTCAGGAGATGGCTTAGAGTAGGGCCTCCCTTTACGAGACGGGGAAGATTTCTTCCAACTCTCTAGATCTGTGATTCTGCCAAACACGTAGAGGCATCTCTTCTGTACCTTAAGCACCCTCATAGGAAGGCCCCCTGAGGGAGAGGCAGGGGCAGCAGTCTGGGGCAGGCAGGGCAGACTGCCATCACCACTGCCCCTCTGATCCCCATCTAGCTCCCTTGAGTACAGCCCAGGACCTTAGCTTTGGGAAGAGCCAGGCTTCCAGCCAGGGTCCTCCCAGCTATTGTTACAGGCAGCCACCTCTGTGGGGACACAGCTGGGGACTGCTGCCCTCTGCGAGGGCTGTAGCCCCAGCTCCCGAAGGCCCTGAAAGGAAAATGCTTGCTATCAAAGTCCTTGGCTCTGTCCAGTGGTTCAGCATCAGAACTGGATCTGCCTTTATCAGTGGGAATGGCACTGAAGAAGAGGTCTGACATGCGCTTTGCAGCTGACCCCTGAGCACCCAGGGACCTTTCCACTGGACATGCAGCTGAAGCCTTCCCTACGTCTTGTGTCCCACATCTGACGGGAGTCCCTGGAGAGCAGGGATCCTGTTGGGATCACCAGTGCCTAGCACATAGTAAGCATTTAACAAATACTTTGTTCATTCATTCGTCCATTCTGACATTTTCTCAAGGCCTAGCCTATTCAAGTCAACACATTTTTATGGGCATCTACTATGTGCCAGGCCATTAATGGACTGTACCCAAGTCTCCAATGTCATCTGATCAGGGCAGAGTTGGGGAAACTAACCCTCTCAATGCAGCCCAAAGTGATGTTTGCTTTTTGGCTGCTACATTCCAGACTCAGACTGAATTTGCATTCCATCTAGACCCCCAGATCTTTTAGCAGAAGAGCTGCTGCCTTACTAGGCCTCCTGACCTGTTACTTCTGAAGCCTGAACCACAGCTTCCCAGTCCTGGGAGAACAATAATAAAGGCCCAGACCCTGAAAGTGCTGCTGATGACCAGCACCCCAGCCAGGCCCAGCAGGTGGGAAGCCTGGGTGGGCTACCCTTCAGGAACCATCAACACTGCACCTCTTGCCGAAACAACCTGCAGACTGGGATCATGCCTGCTTCCTTCATCCTTTCTGGATGTGTGAGCAGTGAATCTGCTTCAAAAGCTGACAAAGACTCCAGAGGCAAGACTCAGAGTCTGAAGTCCCTTGTGTCATGGACTGACAGGCTCGCTAGCAGCCCTCAGGACAATGGGGCTCCTGCAGGCTGGACATCACTAGCTCAGCCTGTCATACAGACAAGTTAGTGCCTGCGATGTCGGCAAGGACTGGGCTGGAGGCAGAGTTCTGGGTTGCAAGGGCAACCTTCTCCTCTTGGCCTCTGTTTCTTCCTCTGGGAAATGGGTAGTTTGGTGAGGGTTGAACTCAGTGATCACCAAGGATCCCTCTTTGATAGTGGATTTCTTGCTTTTCTCGCTTTAGGTAAAACTAATTCTGACACTAAAGTTAAAGCAGGAAATCCACACAGATTCCTCATGGACTGGGAAGTGTGTCTGTAAGTAAGACTAGGGAACTAGTCTTAGACTAGAGAAAAAGACCTTTCCCATGACTTAATTATGATAAGATGTTGGAAAAAAGTCTGTTGCATACAGTTTAAAAAATCAGAACTGTCTTCACTAGCATCCATACTTCTGTCCATCCATCTGCCCATCCATCCATCCATCCATCTGTCTCTCTGTCCATCCATCCATCCATCCATCCATCCATCCATCCATCCATCCATCCATCCACCTACCCACTCATCCATCCATCCAGCCATCCATCCGTCCATCCATCCATCCATCCATCCATCCATCCATCCATCCATCCATCCATCCATCCATCCATCCATCCATCTATCTGTCCATCCACCTATCCACTCATCCAGCCAGCCAGCCAGCCAGCCATCTGTCCAGCCACCCATGTATTGGATGGCTAGGGAACTATGACAACCAGGAAGGACATTGGTCTCAGTGTCTGGAGAAGATTGTGTTCAAACCCCACCTTGGACACATAATAGCTGGGTGACCCTGGGCTAGTCACTTCACCACTCTGGGGCTCAGTTTCTCCATGTGCAAACCTGGCAGGGGTTGGGATGCGGTATTGGCCAACCTTGGAAGTGTGGCTCGTCACGATTTCAGCAGCGACCCAGGTGCTGATATTGTCCGAGTTTCTTAGGAGCTGTAACAAGTACTTGTCCTGGGTGTAACTGGGCAGGAACAGACTCCCAACCTTGGCCGACAGAGATTCTGAGGAGGTGCATCTGTGCAATGGGAAAGTGAGGCTTCGTTAGAGGGATGGAGAAAGGTGCAGAGGGTGGGCGGCCAAGCATGGGGGCCAGCCCCTCACCCTCCCCAAGGCCACCAGGGCCTGTCAGAGCCAGGGCTATGCTGGCCTCTCTGCCTGTGCTCTGGCCTAGCATGTACACACACACACATGTGCACACACATGAGTGCACATGCACATGCTCAGCTTCACTGCATTTAGGGCTTCAAGACATCAGAGCTGAGACCTGTGGATGGTACAGAGCATGAAAGCAGCAGTCACAAAACAGGGGTGACCCAGCAATGGGAGATGTGAGCACAGGCCACTAGGTGGTGCCACAGTGCATTCAATGTCGAGGCCAGAGTCGGGAAGACACGAGTTCCAATCCAGTTTCAGGAACTTCCTAGCTGTCTAAGTTACCTGTGAGACCCTGGGCAAGTCACCTCGCTTCTGTTTGCCTCAGTTTCCACATCTGAAAAGTGGGGATGATTCCAGCCCCCACCTCCCAGGGTGGTTGCGGGAATCAAGTGAGGTGACTAACATACTAGACACCTCACCCCCGCAGGCCGGTGCCAGGGAACAGGCACACACTCACTTGGGCATGGCTGTGCTTTTGTCCAGGACGCCGAGGGCTCTCGAATTCAAGAAGTGGACTGGGTGGCACTTCTGGAACATTTCCTTGTTAGAAAAAGCATCACAGTCACTACTTGGGGGCATGTCCCCAGGCCTCGAGCTCTCCCAAAGCAGCTCACCTGGTGCACCATCCAAGGTGCTCTGGGCCAGCCCATCCAGGGCAGCCCCAGGGCTGTTCCACATGCATTGCTGACTTCCTGCGGCTCGGTGGCCTTGCCTTCTCCAAGCCATGTTAGGACCACAGGTCCTGTTAAGTGGTCTCCCTCTAGGAATGGGCAGCCAGGTACGGGCTAGCCTCAGGGGGACTGGTGTTGGATTCAGAAGGGCAAGAAGAGGAGGGAAGCCAGGTGCTGAGCCGGGGAGGGGCTGGGAGGTGAGCTAAGGAGAGGCTAAGGAGGGCAGGGGATGCAGCGTGAGAGGGCCAGCCAGTGGAGCCAGACATCCAGGAGATCCCCACCGTTTCTAAGCATAAAGCTACCCTATGCCTGGAATCCAGGACATGGGCAGTGTTCCCTACTGGGCAGGAATGCCCTGCCCTCCATTTAAAATTGAAGAACCCTTCCCACTAGCTACCATTGCCTTGGGTGGCCACCCTAGTCCCTGGGCCAAGGGGCAGTCACTCCAGCCCTGAGCCTTCTGGCTTCCATCTTGGGGGCCCTCCAGGGGCTGAAGGGAAAAGAAGGAAGAAGGGGCAAAGCACTGGGAAAGGGGAGACAGGAGCTCATGGGCCCAGAGCAGGGGCCAGGATATATTGGGTCCATCCTTGAGAGGGACAAAAAGGTCATTCGTGGGAGCAGTGTCATTCATCCACACATGGGCTTGTCCCCTTTTTAGGGTCAGAAGATTCTTTTTAAGATCTTGACAAGTTTCCTGTCTCTAAGATGGTACCATGATAAAATTGTTTGTGGGGACTCAACTCATCACCCCTAGGAACTTGCTGGCATGGTGTTCATGTCTTTCTGGCACACACACTGACCATGTGGCCTCATGGGCAGGGCCTCAGACTTGGGGCAGGGATGGCCCCACCATGGGCAGCTTGGGGTCTCCAGAGGGCACCAAGGTGGCAGCCCTGGCAGTGCTGCCCACCTGAACCTTGGACCTAGCTCCCCCCTCCCCCACTTACTGATGTCACTGTCCTTACCTGCTGCATTAGGGTCAGCTGGCTAAAGAGCTGGTGGGTGCTGTACTCTGTGAGGAAGTAGGGCCCCTTCTCGCTGGTCTTGCCATAGGCACCACAGAATTCCTCCAAGAAGCAGGGCTTGGGTAGGGCAGAGGCAATGGTGTATGGCCTCTCTTTATGGTGAGGCAGAATGAAGCCATTGGCCCTGGGAAGCTTCCAATTAAAACCCTGTAGAGAGAGAGACAGAGAGAGACAGAGAGACAGAGACAGAGATGGAGAGAGACACAGAGAGACACAGAGACAGATACACAGACAGACAGGCAGACAGATAGACAGAGAGACAGAGAGATGGAGAGAGACACAGAGAGAGACAGAGACATACAGAGACAGATATACAGATAGGCAAACAGACAGAGAGACAGAGAGACACAGAGAGAGGGATACAGAGAAAGACACACAGAGAGAGACAGAGAGACAGACACACAGATAGAGAGGGAGAGACAAAGAGACATGGAGAAAGACACAGAGACAGAGAAAGAGACAGAGACAGACACACAGAGACAGATACACAGAGACAGACAGGAAGACAGGCAGAGAGAGAGAGAGCAGAGAGACAGAGAGAGACAGATACACAGAGAGACAGAGACAGACAGACACAGAGACAGACAGAGATAGAGACAGAGACAGAAAGAGAGACAGAGACAGAGAGAGAGAGGGAGAGAGAGACACAGAGAGGAAGAGACAGGCAGAGAGACAGAGAGACAGATACAGAAAGACAGAGATAGAGAGAGAGACAGAGACAGACACACAGAGACAGATACACAGACAGGCAGACAGATAGAGAGATGGAGAGATACACAGAGAGAGACAGAGAGATAAAGAGAGACACAGAAAGAGACAGAGACAGACAGAGAGACATACAGAGACAGATACATAGACAGGAAAACAGACAGAGAGACAGAGAGACACAGAGAAAGGGATACAGAGAAAAACACAGAGAGTGACAGAGAGAGAAAGAGACAGAGACAGACACACAGAAACAGAGACACAAAGAGACAGACAGGAAGACAGGCAGAGAGAGAGAAAGAGAGACAGAGAGACAGAGAGATGGAGAGAGAGACAGACAGACACAGAGACAGAGACAAACACACAGAGACAGATAGACAGACAGACAGAGAGATGGAGAGATACAGAGAAAGAGACAGTGACACAAAGAGAGAGACAGAGAGATGTAGAGAGACACAGAGAGAGACAGAGACAGACATACAGAGACAGATACACAGATAGACAGGCAAACAGAGAGACAGAGAGACACAGAGAGGGATACAGAGAAAGACACACAGACAGAGATAGAGAGAGACAGAGACACCGAGACAGAGACAGAGAGAGATAGAGAGAGAAAGAGAAAGAGACAGGCACACAGAGACAGAGATACAAAGAGACAGACAGGAAGACAGGCAGAGAGAGAGAAAGAGAGACAGAGAGACAGAGAGATGGAGAGAGAGACAGACAGACACAGAGACAGAGACAAACACACAGAGACAGATAGACAGACAGACAGAGAGATGGAGAGATACAGAGAAAGAGACAGTGACACAAAGAGAGAGACAGAGAGATGTAGAGAGACACAGAGAGAGACAGAGACAGACATACAGAGACAGATACACAGATAGACAGGCAAACAGACAGAGAGATAGAGAGAGACAGAGACACCGAGACAGAGACAGAGAGAGATAGAGAGAGAAAGAGAAAGAGACAGGCACACAGAGACAGAGATACAAAGAGACAGACAGGAAGACAGGCAGAGAGAGAGAAAGAGAGACAGAGAGACAGAGAGATGGAGAGAGAGACAGACAGACACAGAGACAGAGACAAACACACAGAGACAGATAGACAGACAGACAGAGAGATGGAGAGATACAGAGAAAGAGACAGTGACACAAAGAGAGAGACAGAGAGATGTAGAGAGACACAGAGAGAGACAGAGACAGACATACAGAGACAGATACACAGATAGACAGGCAAACAGACAGAGAGACAGAGAGACACAGAGAGGGATACAGAGAAAGACACACAGACAGAGATAGAGAGAGACAGAGACACCGAGACAGAGACAGAGAGAGATAGAGAGAGAAAGAGACAGGCACACAGAGACAGAGATACAAAGAGACAGACAGGAAGACAGGCAGAGAGAGAGAAAGAGAGACAGAGAGACAGACAGAGACAGACAGACAGAGAGACAGACAGACACAGAGAGAGACAGAGAAAGACAGAGAGAGAGAGAGACAGAGACAGAGACAGAGAGAGAGAGAGACAGATACAGAGAGACAGAGATAGGGAGAGACAGAGAGAAAGAGACAGACACACAGAGACAGATACAGAGAGAGAGAGAGAGAAAGAGAGAGAGAGAGAGAGAGAGAGAGAGAGAGAGAGAGAGAGAGAGAGAGAGAGAGGGAGGGAGGGAGAGGCACCAAGGTATGCCTTGGCCCCCTCCCAGCACAGCCTCTGGAGCAGCCTCCAGGGGACCCAGGCCAAAGAGTCCAGAGAAGCTCACAACCTGACTTCCCATTGCCTGCAGAGCTTTCAGAGGCTCCTCCCGGTCCCTCCCAAGTCCATTGGTCCCTCTTGTCCACCCTAACAGGGAGGGAGGGCCGTTTCTTTGGAGACAGAATGTACCTTCCGACAGAGGCTCTCCTCTGAGAGCTTTTTGCAGAGGGCGTTCAGAGACCGCGTGTCTTCATCGGCCTCTTTATCATCATCCAAGTCCCCGAGGCGGGAAGGCCCCTCACACTTTCCATCTGTGGCTACTTCGAGAAAGGACCGGAGGTGCTCCCCATAGCCATCCAGGGGAGTGACCTGGACAGAGCACATGGAGTGGTCAGTGGGATGGACAGTGGTGGCGCTTTCTGGGACCTGCCTTGACCTGAGCCAGCCCTCTCCCTTCCCTGAGGCTTGCGCACAACCTGGTCATTTGCTGGCTCTTGGTCTGGGTTCTTGTAATGAGTTACCTTGGAAGAGATAAACTCTTCAAGCTTTTCCAAGAGCCCGGCATTCCGGGTAAAGTCAACAGTGTAGCAGTCTTCAATCCAGGCCTGTAGGATGCAGAAACTACGGTTATAGATTTTGGTGAAGGTAGACGTGGGGTCCTGGTTGGCTCTGGAAACAGAAAAAAGCAAGGGTTAGGGTGGGGTTACCTGTGGTCCAGGATCAGGCCACATCATTTATCTCGGCTTTGGAGAACCCAAGAGATACTCTGGCAGGGAGCTGTGTGGGAACCCTGAGTGCCCATGTCAGAAGCGCCCCTTCCCCAAATGCCTCCCCTGGGGCCCCGATCTAGGGTAGGGGACACATGCAAGGTCAGAGAGTGGGAGGGTCAGAAGGAAGTAAACTGTTCATGCCCCAGCCCCAGCTCTGGCTCCAGCTGATATTTCGGATCTGGGCCAGAAGACAGAGATTATCAACACACGCTCTGAGGCACGTCAGGGGCATACTCCTAAGAGGCTAAGACATGGCTAGGGTGCTGTAGGAACCTGGGGGCCAAGGGGGTCTCTTCCAGGCACAGCTCAGCACCAGAGGCCTTGGGCTTACCTGGATAAAGTGCTATTGATCCTGTCCAGGAGGAACTGCAGAAAGTCTTCTGGAGTGCAGAAGTATCGGAAGGTATAAAGGAACTGCTGGACATAGCCTTCTAGGAAAGCATCACTGCAAAGGCAAGGCAGAGGGATGGCTGTGAGGTGCCTGAATGCATGCTCGCCCTTCTCTTGGGTGGTGACAGTGTGGCGCTAGAGGAGATGAGCAGATGTGCAGGGGTGCAGAGGCTGATGCATGGCCACACAACCAGACACCCAGACACCCAGTGACAGACACACACCCAGTGACACAGCCTTCACGTGGACTATCTTAAGTTTTGTTGTCTACTCTGACTGGGTCATCCATCACCTTTGGGGACCCTGATTCAGCCATTCAGCTTTCTGCCTGGACCTCTTAACTTCGGGTCACCTACAACCCTGATATCAGACTTTACCTGAGTTTTCAAAACCAAACCACCAGCAAACCACTGTTAAACAGAACAGGGCCAAGCACAGATTCCAAAGTGCTAGCCATTCAGCCAGTTTCAGATTCTCCTTCCCGTATTACCACCAAGCCCCCACCTCTCCATCTTTTCCATAAGAACAGCATTAGCTACCGCACAATTCTGCACCAGCATCTCCACTGAGACTTCCCTGCTGCCAGGAAGTCCTCTGCCCCCGCCTTTCTTGGCTCGCTCTTCCACTAACCACAGCAGCTATTCTCAAGGCTTCCAACCCTCCTCTAAGCTCTCACGGCTTCACCTCCCCAGACCCTCTCAGCTCAGAACCTGGCTTCATGTTTTCCCAAAAAAAGTAGGCCATCAAGTGTCAAGCACCTTCTTCTCCCCTCTTCTCCCAGATGCCTGGGCATGAATTTCTCCTTCACTCCATCTCCCATGAAAAGGTGGCCCTTCTCTTTGCCAAGGCACAGCCCATTCCATCCCATCTGCTCTGGCAGACTGGCTCCTCTGTTTTCCCTATCCTCACTTATCTTTGTTTCCCCATCTCTTGGTTGCTTCCCTATGTGTCCCCCATTCTCAAAAACCCCCATCCCTATTAGTGATCATTCTATATCTCTCCTCCCTTTTGTAACTGAACTCCTAGAAAGAAACAAAACACAACAAAAGCAAACAAACAAACAAAAAAACCCCAAATAAACCACTTGCTCTCCTCTCCCTCCTTTCTTAACTATGGTCTGGCTTCTGATCTCATCACTCCCCACGACTGCTCTCTCCAAAGTTACTGATGATCTCTTAAGGACCAAAACCAATGGTTTTTTCTCACCTTGACCTCTCTGCAGCCTTGGACACGGGTGATCACTCTCTGCCCATTGGGATACTGCTCTCTCTCTTCTCTCTCTCTCTCTCTCTCTCTCTCTCTCTCTCTCTCTCTCTCTCTCTCTCTCTCTCTCCTCTCTCTCTCTCCTTTCTCTCTCTCCTCTCTCTCCTTTCTCTCTCTCTCCTCTCTCTCTTTCTCTTTTTCTCCTCTCTCTCTCTCTCTGTCCTCCCTCTCTCTGTCTCTTTCTCCTCTATCTCTGTCTCTCTCCTTTCTTTTTTTTTCTTTCTCTCCCTGCCTCGCTCTGGTTCTCCTCCTGAACACTCCTTCTTGGTTTTCTTTGCTGGATTTTCATCCAGGTCATGTCTGCTGACTCTGGGTGGCCCATAGGGCTCTCTCCTGAGCCATTTTTTTTCTTTTCCCTCTGCTGTTTCACTTGATGATCTCATCATCCCCCATGGACTCAACTGTCATCACTCTGCTAATGATTTCCAAATCTACTTACAAAAATGGCTAGCATTTGTATAGTGCCTCAAATTTTGCAAAATGCTTTTACAAACATCATCTGATTTTATCCTTTTGACAACCCTTGGAGGTAGGTGTTATTATTATGCCTATTTTACAGATGAGGAAATGAGGCAAAGAGGTTTCTTTTTAATCTATGGTCACACAGTAAGTATCTGAAACAAGATTTGAACTGAGGTCTTCAAGCTGGGACTTGCTGTGATGCTGTGGAGGGGCACCTTGTTCCATATGAGCTGGACCAGGTATGGCCACTGAGGTACCTTCCAACTCTGAGTATCTGTTTACCTGTGTATACAGACTGGCAGCCTCAGAACATACAAGTACCAAAGCCTGTTCCTTTACCATCCATACGGTGGAGGCTACAAGGCAGAATAGGCTCATATTGCAGAAAGGGAGATTTTGGCTGGAAGGGTCAAGCACTTGGGGTGTCCCCAGTACCGACTGCCAAATTCTGCCTCTGAAGTCTCCTTAGCTGGTTCCTCATCCAGGTCTTAGCCCCCACCCATGAGTGTCCCCCAAAACTCTATCCTGGGCCTTATCCTTTTTTCTCCCCAGACCCTTTCTCCTGGGGACCTGAGGAGCTCCCATGGGTTCCCTTATCATCTCCATGATTGCCTCGGCTACAGCACATCACTGACCAAACTCCTGGGAATCTATTTCTTCTCTATACCCTTATATGTACAAGTATTCTTCAAAGAATTGAAGCTCCATGAGGGCAGCAACTGTTTCATTCCTGTCATAGTAGCTCTAGTGCTTTTCTGATTAATTGGCTGATCTCTGAAGATGCTTAAGAAGTCCCCATTTCTATTTCTCGTCTTTCTACAGAACTCACTTTTCCTCCTCTCACCCCCATTATATCAGACTAGCCTCTTTCCTTCACTTCTCTATTTCTACCCAGAAGTCTACCATTCATCCACCACATGCCACCTGCCACTCACCATCTATCTGCCACCCACTATCCACTATATGCCATCCACCATCCTCCATCTGCCATCCACCATTCACCACCTACCACCCACCATCTGCTACCCACCATCCTCCATCTGCCATCTACCAGCCCCCATCCACCATATGCCAGATGCCCCCACCATCAGCCTCCCCCATCTGCTACTCACTATCTTCCATCCACTATCTACTATCTGCTGTCTTCCATCCTCCATCTGCCATCCATCACTTGCCATCCGCCATTGGCCATCCCCCATCCTCCTTCTGCCATCTGCCCTGTTTCCAGTCACCCTGCTTGCAGCCTTCTATCACATCTTTCATCATCTCTTTTCTTTACTCCCTGTATCTCAATCATTTGCTGGGTGCCCCTCAGTCTGTCTCCACGTCTTTCATATCTGAGCCCTTCTCTCTACACCCTAGTTCAGGCCCTTGCTTGAACCTGGACTACTTTTAAACATTTTAAATTGTTATTCTAAACTTGACAAATATGGATAAAAAACCCAAACATTTCCAAATACAAAGAGCAGAAAAAGAGGATAGCATATGAAACCATAAATCTCTACTACATTCTGCTGTGTCCTCCCTCCCCCTTTAAAACAAAGTGACTTAGTAAACAACATGTAAATTTCTAGGCTGTCCTGCTCTTCTGTCTCTCTGACCCGAGGTACTTTGGTGCCTCTAGTGGTCTCTCTGATTCTCATCTCTCTTCTCTCCATACAGATGGGGCCCACCTCCCTTACTCAGGACACCTGGGACTCCTTAGCACCTCTAGGCTCCAGCCTGTCCTGCCAAGCCACCCTCCTCACTGCTTCTCATAGATGCCATTCCATGCCCCTCCCCCAATTCTGAGCTTCCTTCTAAGCACAGTCTGGGCAACTACCAAATTACCAATTACTTTGGGAGTCGTTTTTATGTATCTTTCTTATTTCAGGATCTGACCTTGAGAGCTGGAAAGGACCTCAGAGGGCATTTAGTCCAAGGCCTCCATTTTGCATATGAGAAAACGGACTTATTTTCCCTCAGGAGAATGCAAACTCCTGGGGAGGGGGCAGAGCTGTTTCTCTTTGTCTGTGTCTCCCCAGCACTCAGCTCATAGAGCAAGCATCCAGTAAATGGCTTTTCTGTTGGGTCACCAACTGGGCAAAGGAATTCCCTCTTTCTGTCCTGCTTTCTAGTCACAAGACATACCACATGGTGCTCTCTCAGCATTGACCCCATCTCACAGATGTGGAAACAGGCTGAGAGTGATGGAGTGACTTGAAGGGATGCATGAGACTTGGACTCCTGGATTAAAAACTCCCCAGACTAAGAAGGAGGGGCCTTCCATCATGAAGTGTCCTTGAGCAAAAGGGGGGCAGCCCCCACCCCACCACCTCTTCAGGGCCTCACAGACAGTAGCCAAGGATCAGACAGTTTCTGGCTGTGTGACCTTGGGCAGCCTCCCACCCCCTCTGAGCCCCAGCCTGGGCCCAAGTACCTGGAGTAGAGATAGGCCATGAGCCCCAGGGGGGTCCCGGCCTGGAGGATCCGAGACCTCCTCTGTTTGTTGTTTCCCTGGTGCTTGTTCACGTTGTAGAAGATGAGTGAGGACGACTCGTCCAGGGGGCTGAAGTCCAGGGTGTCACACCCTGCAGCTGAGATGTTCACGATGATGGGCAGTGCCCATGGCTGCAGGCCCCATTGCTCCGCGTAAACCCACCTGCAAGGAGCCAAGCTGTGCTTATGGGAGTCGGGACCACCAAGCCTCTGGGCTAAATGGGAGTGGGCTTCTCCAGCACAGTGATGAGGGTTGATGCTAGGACACAGCAGCCTTTACCAGGGCCATGCCTAGAGAACATTCCTACCCTGGGGGGCTGAAGCTACCAGGGAGAGCTGACAAACCCACATGCAGAATGGAGGGGAGAGGGAAGGGGTAGGGGAAAGAGGAATGAGGAGGAGGGAAAGGGAGAAAGAGGGAGGGGGAGGGGAAGGGGAGGAGGGGAGGAGAGGGGAAGGTGGAGGAGGGGAGGGGAGGGGAAGGGGGAAGGGGGTGGAGGAGAGGGGAGGGGAAGGGGTGAGGGAAAGAGGAATGAGGAGAAAGGAGAGGGAGGAAGAGGGGAGTGGGTAGGGGAGGGGGAGGGGAAGGGGGAAGGAAAGAAGAAAGGAAAAGAGAGGAGAAGGAGGAGAGAGAGGGGAAGAGAAGGAGAAAGAAGAAAAAGAACCAAAGCTTACTTACCTGCAGGTACTTTTTGACCAGTTCAAGGAACTGCACCTTGGCCTTGGTCTCTTCCAGCTGTCCTTTCAGTTTTGACAACATGGTTTTAACTTCAGAACCTTAGGGTGTAAAGCACATTCAGCAGAAGGGCGGCTTGGGCTCCAAGGGCCTATTCCCACTCCTGCCTCCCGCCAATCCCCCCTCTTGCCCGCCGCAGCTGCTACCTCGGCTTCTCTTCTCCTTCTGCAGCAGCTTCTGGCGGAATTTCAAGGTCTTCCGGTAGTTTCGCTTCTCCATCATCAGCTGCTGTTCTAGCTCCTGAGAAGATGTCAAGTTCATGGCTCTCAAGGCATCCTAGCACCCTGCAGCCCAAACCTTTCTCTTGACTTAATGGTCAAGACCAACCCTATCCAGGAAGGGCACCAGACAAGAGCAGCAGGGGCTGACCACCAGGCCATCGGCACTCTGTATGTGCACAGGAGAGGAGCTGAGGGCCACAGGGGCCACACAAGTCCAAAACTCAAATAGTGTGGGGGTGACAGTCGTTTTAGAGACAGAAACAGAAAAAAGCTCAGCTCAGTCACTTTGGACCTGAGTCATGCCATCTACTAATACAACAAAATCAGTCAAAAGAGAAAGATATGTGAGGGACAAAGGATGGAATGGGAGGGGGCCCTTCAAGGATACTGGGAGGGAAGTTCCCACCAGGGTCAGGTGAGGAAGATATTGGAGTGAAGGCACCCAGAATGGGTCCCAGCCAGGGCAGAAGGCAGTGGAGTGGCTGGCCTTCTCTCCAGTCTTGGACACTGAACAGCCTCAGGTCATGGTAGCTTTTGCTATGATGCTGCTTTTCCCTGGGCTAGTGGTCAGCTAAAATGGCTGATCTCTGGTCCCTTCCTGTGAGTGTGTGTTTCTCTCCTCTGAACTTGAGACTTGGGACTGGGAAGGCCCCTAGAAGGGATCTAGCCCAACCTCTTCTTTTTATAGATGAAAAAACGGGTATCCAGAGGGGTGACATGACCCTGGCAAGCCAAGGGGCCCGGACAAGATTTGAATCCAGTGCCTTTGACTCCAGATCCTATTCTGAGCTCCTTATGCTGATGCTTCTTTCTTGTCTGCAATTCAGCTTTGTTACCAATGGAAGTGATCATGAGCTCCCTGGGGTAGGGACCTCTGTCCTTGGTGGTCATTCTCCCAGGCATATTGGATCTGACTAAGGAGGGCTTAGAATGTGTGTGAATCTCCCCCTTTGCCCCTCTTCTGTATCATTTCATAAAGGTGTTTCCAGATTTCTTCATCTTTTCCACAGCTATTCACACCCATTGCACACCAGAGGGTCCTGCTCCATGAAGGTACCCAATGGATGTAGCTCTTCCCCTGATACAACAAGACACTCTGTAGAGGGGCCCCAGAACAAGGCTGTCTTTTTGTTCTGGACATATTCCCAGCAAAGGAATTCTTGTGTTATGGGGAATGAGAATGAATGGACAAAGGAGTCTCATGGGCACACTGAATGCATGAGGCTACTTCAGGGGTTGTAATAAATCAAAATCAAATGGCTATTAAATAGACAGAGATGCATGTGATGATGCTGTTTAATGTTAAGTTTCTAACAGAACATTTAATTAAAAATAAAACACTGACTAGCACACACGAAGATAAAGAATTCCAAGAACCAAGACTCAAATGAACTATTGTCACCTGGAGTCAGCAGAACTCAGACACATGATCTACAGTGACAACAATGTGAATGAGAATACGGAAGGAAATAGAGAAATGTAATGACCAAGCTTGACTCCAGAGCAGAGATGAGAAAATTCACTTCCCTCGTTCATGCAGAGGTGAGGGACTCTTTCTGTCCAGCAAGGTTGAAGCATTGGTTAATTGGGCTCATTTCCTCTTTTGTTTTTATCCTTTGCTACAAGGGATGGCTCACTAGATAGAGGATACATACTGAGAAAGGAACAGCACCCAACTAAAGGCTTCCATCAAAATGACATTTTTTAAAAGCCCATAATCTGAAAATTTAGCCAATGACAGATTATATAGACTGAACAGGGAGCCCAAACTCTCCACGAAGTGGTCCTGGTCAAATGGCTCAGGGGACCCAAGTTAGCACACATGGAAACCTACCTGGTTACATTCGTACTCCTTGAGGGAAGACTACTCCATCAGGCAGTGTTTGCAGAAAATGGACACTGAGAAATCACTGTCATCATCCCCTCCCTCCCAACCATAAATGCCATAGCCACCCTTTCCCCCTTTTATGTAATCAGGGCTTCTGGCTAAAATGCCAGTTGGCCTTTGTTGGAAACAAGATTAATTCCAAGGTGTTTCTAACCTTAATCTTTTTTGTCAAATGAGTGTTAGCCTTCACACTGGAAGGAATAAGGACATTGACATCCAGAGCATAGTTGGGGTGTGGCAGTATACAAAAGAACACAAGAAATGTCTGGAAAGATGGGCAGGAAGCAGATTGTGGCCCCTGTGGCCCTCCAGCATAAAGTGCTGAAGAGAAGTCTGCTTTTTCTCCTAGAGGCAATAGAGAGCCCCTGAAGTGTCTTGGGCTGTGTGTGGCAGAATTGGTGCACAGAGCTGCCCTAGTCAGCAGTGATCACCCTTGCCCCATAGATTCTCATATTAATTCATCAAAGGAAGCAAAAGCCAGGAATCAACCCAGAGTGGGGCTATACCACCTCCACAGAACCAGAGAGAGCCATTATTGAAACATAAGGAGGGAAGAAGGAGCCAAGGGATAACTTCTGACTCAGATGATTATGGCAGGACTAAAAGACGGTGATGTCTTCTTCCTGAGAATCCCACCAGGTTGAGCCAGGGACCATGACAGTCATGAGAACCCACAGGGAGTGTGGGTCAGGCTCCTGACAAGTCACCTTTAGCTGTTTGACCACTCACTGAATGCACCAGGGGAAAAACACCTTGGAAACTCCCATCTTCCTCACCCATTGTCCAAATGGGACAAGGTCACATAGTGTCACCCTCACGACATACAAAGCCCCTTGGCACCCTGAAGGATAATACTGGACCTGGCATGTGAATGGTGCAGGGAGCCCAGATGGGGAACTCCCTCTACCCATCCGCCTCTTCTCTTGGACAGGAACACCCTGGGAGGTAGGTGTTACAGGTGGGGGATGCGAGTGAACCAAGAGGCGGCAAGGCTAACTGGGAGGAGACTCACCCCCCTTGGCCTGGGCTCTGGAGGCTAACATAGAGTCAGCTACCTCTCACCTAACATCTACTTTCCTGGCTGGGTTCAGTTGAGGAGGCAAGGACTGAATTGGCCTCCGTGGAGAGAGAAGCCTCCAGCCCTCATCTCCCCATGGAGGTCGTGGGCCTGCTCTTCCCTCTGACCCTGTTCCTGGTATCTGAACTTCCTGATTGTAGGTAAAGGAGTATAGGAGATAGTCACAACCTCATGAGCTCAGATTTAGGGCTAGAACAGTGCACACAGCAAGCTTGGGAGCTAGAGCCAAGGCTGGTTGGCAGGATACCCAGTGTGGGTGAGGCTCTGAAGAATGATCTGTTTGACCCAGCCCAGCAAGAGAAGAGGCAGAGACTCTTCCACCTATGGAGGTGAATGCTGTGAGCTGCCCATTCTCCTCCAGGGAATGAGGCAACAGATGGGGCATCCCCACACATGCTTCTTCTGGAAGTCCTATTGTTGCTGGTCTTCCTAGTAAATAGCCCTTAGTAAAAGCTAATAGATATTAACTGGCTAAATGAAATGGGCTTTCATCACAATTGGTCAACATTGGAGAGAGCACATCAAAATGGGGGCTTGAGCCACTGACATTTGAGAAAGACAACCTCAGCTCTGGGGACCCTCAGGGATGCCTCTAGGATCCTGAGTGGAGCTGTAGCCTTGTTTGGGTGGTTCTGGCTCATTGGTGAGCAGGGAAGATGGGGTAAGGATTGTCAGAGCTTACATAGCTTCATTTGGGTTTGTAGGAGACCGCCAGACAGCTCCCATCTCAGGCTCACCACTCAGTGCATGTTTAGGAACACTTGGGTGAATTTTTTGGGGGGGATTTTGAGGCAGCCTGACAATCTCTGCAGGACCAGCTGGTGGGGGACCCTTATCTCTAGGGTAGAGAAGGAAATAAGTCTTCAGAGGAGCTCAGAAATTCTGAGCTGAGGCTTGACATGTCACCATTTTGTCTTTATAAAGTGATGCGGCTGGTTAACATGCATATGATACCTAAGGAGTCATGTTAGCCACTCCTGGCAGTGCAAAGGAGGAGAAAGTATGAAGGGAATGGTCTCAACTGATCTTAGCACAGGCCTAGCACATAGTAAGTGCTTAATAAATGTTCTGTTTATTTATCCATCCATCAATCCATCCATCCACCCATCCATCTGTCCTTCCATCCATCCATCCATCTGTCCATTCATCTGTCCCTCTGTCCATCCATCCATCCACCCACATACCCATTCACCCATCCACCCACCCATCCATCCATCCATCCACCCATCCATTCATCCATCTACCCATCTATCCATTTGTCTGTCCGTCCATCCATCCATCCATCTGTCCCTTCATCTGTCCCTCTGTCCATCCATCTATCCATATATTTTTTTCAGGCAATTGGGGTTAAGTGACTTGCCTAGGGTCACAGAGCTAGTAAGTGTCAAGTGTTTGGTCTGAGGCCGGATTTGAACTCGGGTCCTCCTAACTTAAGGGCCAGTGCTCTATCCATTGCACCACCTAGCTGCCCCCATCCATCCATCTTAAAGCAGGACAGGGATGCCACTAAAGGGACAAAGCAAGCAAAGAATGGGAAGAGAGATGCCTACTTAATATTCTGCCTTGAGGCTCAACTCTACCTGATCTGGCCATAACTGACTCATTCCTTAGCCTGCTCAGAACCTTGAGTGTGGTAGGTGATCTCCATAAGTGGTAAGTGGATGGAGTTAATGTGCTGGCCCCCTCCCCAATGCTATTCTAGAAAGAACACTTCTCTGGTTGAGCTGCTATGTGAGAACCATGGGTGAAATCATGACTGGGACCTCTGCCCCCAATTCTCTTCTCACATCAGGATTTCTCCAGGCTGCACTAACCAGAGCAGAGCCCTGGGACATTGTGGATGTTTATTCTTGACATTAGCAGCAGATTGGGGTCCAGTTCATTCCAGGAGAAGATGTGGAGAGTTCAAAGTAAGCTCTTTGTTACCTATGACAGCCCACCCCCCAGTAGGGAGAAAAGGACTTCACAAACAATGCAAAGCTTGCAAAGCAATGCCTGTCTACACTCCCATCCCTACAGTACCCAAGGTAAAGAGCTTCTCTTCTAGAAAGCCTAACATTGTCCAGCAGAGATGACTTATTTGCCCAGAATATTGAGGAAAGGGGATCTGCATAAGCAGAAGCAGCTGAGGCATAGGGTGCCAGGGCAGGCCTTTTCCAGCTTACACATCAATTAAACGCATCAAGCTAATTACTCTCACTAAGCCTTATCTCTTCAGCAAAGGGTTCTGAGGACTCCCAGGAAGAGATCCTCTCTGCTCAACACTTTCTAACCAGAAATGCACCTGATGCCACTCATGACTGCTACTTCTGCAAGACGCCTGCTGACAAATGGACAGCCATGCACTTGTATAGCCTCCAGAGGAGAATGTGTCTAGTTTGGCCTGGCCATTCCAGAGCTGACATTAGGATTGGCCACAGACTTCAATCCTTCTCTGGGTCTTTTCTCCCTACATCTGGGGATCCTAAAATGTGGGCAGAATTCAAGGTGGAGGCATGTGGCTCTGGAGCCACACTTTGGGGAGACCAGAAGCAAACAAACCACCCACACGGGTAACTGGTGGGGTTATGTGTCTGAAAGACTCCAGCTGAGAGGAGGACTCTGGAATATCCAATAAGATGCATTCCCAGAAAACTGGAAGGAAAAATGGCTGTCAGGAACTCAGGGAAAGGCTTTACAATGGCTCCTGGGACCTTTTGACAAGGTGCAAGCCCTATCATGGGCTTTGCACAGTTTCTAGGCTTCAGCCGTGGACAACTCAATAGCCATAGAATCTGAGGGGCCTCATAGGACTCTTGACATCATCAGGGGCCCCCAAAAGCTAGTGTGTTTCAGGAATGGAGGGTGCTGTGGTGGACCTGGAGCTTGCTGAATGGTGGAAAGTTTAGCCTTGGGCCTTTCTGGGCATGCCAAAGCCTTAGTGTCTCCTAGCTTGGTCCCGAGATGAGTTCTGCTTCTTGGGACCAAAATGCCCTCATCATCAGACTCCAGCCCCAGGCCCAGGGACCCCCGAGCTCCCTTGGGAATCCAAACTTGCATGAGGCACATCCTCCTTACCATGAGGACCATGATCAAGATGATTCACCAGTTTTCTCCCATTTGGCCTTTAACCACCCACTAAGTACCTGGCACACCCCCAGAGTGAATGTGGGTATAGTCAGTGTGAACAACGGTGTTTGAAGTGCCAGCCCAGGGTGAGGAGGTGGGATGAGTGCGCCCAGGGATGATTTTAAGGACTCACCAGGCTTGGGGCATCTATGTTTTGTGAGTTGTTATCTTTCCGCCGCCCCAGCTTTTTCACGTAAGTGTAAACATCTGGACCAAAGCAGCCAGCTTCATAGAAGGCACTGCACCAGCCAGGGCTACCGCTGTGGAATTCAGCTGGGCAGGGAGGGGGGGTGATATTCTTGATCCCAAAGGCCATGCCTTCCCCTCCTGGGCTGTCCTGGAGGCAGCTGCCTTCTGTGGAGTGCTCCTCATTCTCACTGCTTACCATCTTCTGTGGCCTGAATCCCACCTCAAAGTTACTTTGGGACAGCTCATTTGCATCCATTTCAGAGAGCGAGGCTGGTGAGGGTGGTGCTCCAGGGGTGCGGGAGGCCCTTGGCCTAAGTTTTCCTTGGAAAGAAGAATGAGACAAAGCATAGGCCAGCCCCATCCCAAATTTCTTAGACAGAAATGTGAACAGGTAACAGTTAGCAGGGGAAGGGCCAAAAAGGGCCATGATGGGGGACTGTCACGACAGCCATGACCACATGGCTGCCACCAGAAAGAGCACACAGAGGGCCGTCAGCCAGTGGGTCAGTCAGTAGTCCTGACATCAAGCGATCTTCTTTTGATCTGGCCTTAAACTACCCTGGACAGTTCAACGAATAGGAGAATTTTGTCTGTTCTGCTGGTAGAAGTATAGAGGATGGACTAGGGCTTCCCTCATGCCATCTTTCACATCTTGAAAATGGATCCCTTAAACCAACAATCACAATGGCCTCCAGGAACATCCTGTGTTCACCCCACTCCCTTCAACACACAAACTCCTCCTATCTCACAAAGAAACTTCTTTCTTCCAGCATGTGGGACTGGAAATATCCATGGCGCTAGACCCAGAGGAGTGGGGTTCCAATCTTACATCTAATGCTTACTCCTTGTGCGACCTTAGGCAAATCACTTAACTTCAGTGGACCTCAGTTTCCTCATCTATAAAATGAGGGGGAGGGTGGCCTAGACAGCTTTAGATCAGATTTAAAAAAAAATTCCATTTTATTTTCAGGTCCAAATTCTCTCTCTCTGACTGCCCTTCTTTCCTTCACCCCCTCCCTATCCACTGAGAAAGCAAGAAAAATAAAACCCTTCACAAACACGTCAAGCAAAACAAACTCCCCCCCCCCCAGCCACATCCAAAAAATCAGTCGTCGGTCTGCACACTGAGTCTACCAGCTCTTTCTATGGAGGTGGGCAGCGGGGCACATCAGGAACCCTCTGGAATTGTGCTTGGCTCTTAAATCTTTCAAATGTGCTTTTCAATGTTGCTGTTATTGTCCAAATTGTTCACCCTGTTCTGCTCACTTCACTTTGCATCAGTTCATACAAGTCTTCCCAGATTACTCTGAGACCATCCCCTCTATCATCTCCTATAGCACAATGGTATTCTATCACATTCATGTACTGTAACTTGTTCAGATATTCCTGAATTGCTGGGCATCCCCTCAGTTTCCAATTGTTTGCCATCATAAAAAAGAACTGTTATAACTACTTCTGCCCCAAAATATTCTGGGTCCTGATCTCCTTGGGGTTTAGGCCTACTAGTGTTATAACTGAGTCACAGCATATACACAAAGGATATGTAATAGCTTTGGGGGCATAGTTCCAAATGGCCTTCCAGAATAGTTAGACCAATTCACAGTTCCACCAATAATGCATGAGTGTACATATTTTCATACAGCCCTGCCAATGTTTGTCATTTTCCATTTTTTTTTGTCATCTTTGCCAATCTGATAAATACAAGGTAGTACCTCAGGGATGTTTAATTTTCATTCCTCCAATTAGTGATTTTGAGCATTTTCTCACATAACTATTAATAGCATGGATTTCTGCTTCTGAAAACTTCCTATTTTATGTCCTTTGAGGATTTATCAATTGGGCAATCACACTTATTCTTTAAAATTTGAATCAGTTCTCCACATTGGATCAGGGGTTTTTAACCTGATCTCCAGAAGCTTGGTTTTTCTTCAACATTTTAATAACTGTATTTCGTTCATTTCTTTAATAGCTGGTTCTCTTTATAATGCTATGAATTTTATTCTATGCATTTAAAACTGTAATTCTGAGAAGGGGTTTCTGGGCTGCCCCAGACTGCCCAGCAGAGAGTCCCATGACATAACAAGGTCCTGAGAAGCCCTGCTCTGAACCGAGGAGGCTAAGAAGTCCAACTATACTTTCTCAGCTGGACCAAGGTGGTTTTAGGACTTCCTCATTCACTGAACATGCTGTGGGTTTGCAGGTAAGTCCCAGCTTGAACAACCTCAAGAAAACCAACTGTATGTTGTTCCAGTGGGAGAGCTGCCCAGTACAACTTCAAAAGGTGTCAAGAAGCTAGCAGCAGTCTAGGAAAACCTCAGTAACAGAATCGGGGGGACTTTCTGGTTATGCTTTAAATGCAAACGAACCATTCACACGCTATACACACTTTAGTTGAATCACCACCAGTGTATGTGGTTGACCAGGAGGACATGTTCCCTTGATGAGACGTGAAAATCTACGTCATCTTATTCTGTGCATAGATATGAGGCCATCTCTAAGGTTTTGGTCACATCTCCCTTTGGAGGTTATGGTTATGTGCCTCAGCCACGAGACTGAGGATGTCTTCTGGGACATGGAAACACATTCATACCTCCTGGGGAGGGTGTGACTCCTCAGAAATTTCAAGGTCATTTCTTTTTTTAAGGCAGATGGGGTTAAGTGCCTTGCCCAGGGTCACACAGCTAGTAAGTGTCAAGTGTCTGGTCTGTGGTCATTTCTTTTTTAAGGGAAGTCTAGGTCCTTAGGGTAACACTATGCTTTTGGAGGCCTTTACAGGCCCCTCACATGATGATGGGAGCCACTAGAAACTGGATTAGCTAGTTCTGAGTTATAGACTTAAGAGTTGTTACGCATTTCCTAGGTGGTAAAATAAAAGCTGTCTGGTATTACCTTCAGTGCTTGAATGGGAACTGGGGATCTTTTAACCCACATTCATGGAAATCTAGGCAAAAGATAGACTTAGAGCTTTCCAGGGAAAATTCAGGGTTGAGGCAAAATGAGCCATATAGTTTAGGATAGCCTTGCACTCTAGGGTTGGAAGAGTTTGGGTGCTAAGTTACATTGCTGGGGCTAACCTAGGTCCTTTAATCGTGGTTACACATGGAATTCAGGTTAGGCTTAGAAATGGAAAGGAGGAGAGAATCAGGGTAGGTCCATTCCACCCAAAATATTTCACACTTTGGTAGAGGAAGTATATTTTCTTCCTTCTCCCTCCTCCCATCCTTCTCTTCCCCTTCCTTCTCTCCCTTGTTTGATTTTACTTTTGTCTTGTTGTTTTAGCTTTAGTTAGAACCTTCCAAGCACCAAGGCAGGCACAGGCCTCAGGGTACCTTGTATAATGGTGTGTTGAGAATGAGTATTAAACACCAGGCCCACCAAGCTATGGGGAGCCCCCTCACATAAGACTGATGATTTAGGTGGTGTCTAAAAACTGTGATGAGAACATCATGGGTGACAGTCATGGCTCCTGGGGCAATGAGAGGTACTCATTAAAGGGGGCAACTGCTTCACTGAATGAGTTTCCCGAGGCTGTGGAACTCTCCTCTAGGCCTCCAAGAAATATCCCAATTGGGAAGCAGGCCAGTGTACCCAGGCACCCTCCAGTAGGATGTGCAAGGAGCGCAAACATTTCACTATGGAGGATCATGGAAAGTACTAAAACTTACCTGTTTCATACTTTGTTTGTCTTCCACCTGCTGGCCCACTGACTGGTTTCTGTCCACCATGGCCTTGACTCTCCCAACCAGAGATGTCCGTTTCCGTTATGCTGAAAATCAGAACCTCTGTTTTAACATATCAAAGCACTCTGGGCCAAAGCCCAGGGGCTTCCTCCTGTCATCTAACATCACCCTGTCCATGCCTACAATGGAAAAAGCCCCCTTGACTGGACCTTCAGTGGTGATCCTACCACACAAATGGCATGGCAGAGACGCAGTTGGGACCATGGGTTTCCAGAGCCTGGGACAGAGTTGTGAATAGAACATGGGCTAAACAGGATTGCTCAGACTACAGAAGACAGCTGTGGACAAGAATCATATTTGAACTCAGGTCTTCCTGACTTCAGGCCTAGGGTTCTGTCCACTTCATCCTCTAGCTACTAGGTGTATAACTAAATTTGTTCTGTTTGGCCCCAGAAGTCAGAGTCAGGAGCAATGGGGGTATGGTGGCTGGGTGGGGACAGTGGCAAAGAGACTTGATATTAGGAAAAACTTCCTCATGATGACAGCTGTCCCCAAATAAAGTGGGCTTGGAATTGGGGTGGGTTCCTTCTGCTTGGAATTCTTCAAGAAAAAGTTGGACTGAGGGCTCTCCAAGAAGGCTGGAATTGATGGCCAATATGGGACATGTTACTTCATACCCATCAGAAAAATGATGAGGGAAATGAAGTCAGCCGACACGCCAAGGTCACTTACATCCACCTGCTCTTTCTGTGGCAAGATCAAAATGCTGAGTGGAGTAGTGGGGCTCTGGCCTTGGGGATGTGGCGGTGAGTGGCACCGTACCCCCAGCTCTGTAGTCCTACCTGCCATGAGGAAACAGAAGGACTCCAAAGACCAGCAGGGACATAGAAGCCAACAACCAACTTGGGATGAGGCAGGGGAATAAACAAGAAGGGGCCTGGAGGGGAGGTCCTAGCAGGGACTTCTACCCCAAGTGGGTAAGATGAGAAGGCCACTGAGGTCTCTGTAAGCTCTCATGTTCTGCAACCTATCTGCCAAAAAGGGTTTGCTTGTATTTTCTTTATATCCCCATCCCCATCCCCATCCCCATCACCACTATCACTATCACCATCCCCATCCCCATCCCCACCATCACCATCACCACCACTACCATCACCACCATCACCACCATCACTACCACCATCCTTATCCCCATCTCCATCCCCACCATCCCCATCCCCATCCCCATCCCCACCATCACTATCACCATCCCCAACCCCATCCCCATCGCCATCCCCACCATCACCATCACCACCATCACTATCACCATCCCCATCCCCACCCCCACCATCACTATCACCATCCCCATCCCCACCCCCACCATCACTATCACCATCACTATCACCATCCCCATCCCCATCCCCATCCCCATCCCCATCCCCATCCCCATCACCCCTCCCCAGACAGTCATCCCTTGTAACAAAGAATGACAGATAGAAGGGAGAAAAAAAACCCAGACAGGACACCACCACATCTGAGAGTCTCTGCACAGTTGTATACTTCCTTGGGTGTTCTTGTCTGCTGGGACAAGGGGCAATCAGCCTCCCCTGTCCATTGGCAGCACTAGGTCTTCCTGCTTTCTCACAGATAAAAAAAATACCATGGAGAACAGGATTTTCTGGCTTTAAAAAGGACTTTGATTAAAAAGTCCCACTGAGGAGGGTCTCGTTGACAGGCTGGGGTCTTGGGGGCTTCTTGCCTCCCAGTCACAGTTGTGTCCAGAGGTGAGAGGGAGCCAAGATCCACAGCCCTGAGTGACAGAGGAAGGCAAGGAGGCTGGGCCTCCATGCCAGGCAGGCCACAGGTTGCACGGAAGCTGGGGGGGAGGGGCGGCACTCACCTACACGGTGGGGACATCTTCCCATTCACAACCTTGAAAAGATTCTGAAGCAGTTTCTCATTCCAGTAGAGGTCACAAAACTTCTCAGATATGGCCCCACAGAAGGTTGCATATGTGAGATCTTTCAAGGCATAGATGTATTCTCCTTAGTGGGAATCAGAGTGCAATGATCATTTTCACCAGCCTCTGAATGTTGCTGGGGGAATGTTGCCCTCAGAACCCCATGGTGTGCCCTGCTTCTCCCCTCAAGGTCGCCTGAAGGAGGAAGGCTGGAGGTCTGATGGAGCGGGTGGTCCACTGGCTGCCTTAGAAAATGGTGTGAAAGCCCAAAAGGTTGCTGTGTTCTCAGGGCTTCTGTTACACCAGGGCTAAAGTGATTCCTAGATGGGCCACAGCCTCCCTGCCTGCACTGCCCTCCTCACCCAGTGAGCACAGGGGCCCATGATGGCCAATCCTTCTCCCCAACAATGACCACCCCTTAGCACATGCCCTGCTCCATACTCCTACCCATGATCAAGGCTTCGAGCCCATTCTCCAGATAGCCATCAAAGGCAAACTCTTCTTGGATGAGATGCATCACTCTTTGTAGTGAAGGGCCAATTGTCCTTTTCTGCCCAGAGGAGGTTTCTGAATGAGAAGAAGGCGGCCTCCGATCTGCTAGCTTTGCCGAGTCTGGGGGAGGTCCTGTAACACTGGGTTCTCTCTCCCCTCCTCGACCTCTGGGGACACTTTTCTGCAGGGGCTGATTCGGTGCCTCAGAGGCAGAGGCAGTGTCCCTGTGGCTACCGGGCTCTTTGGGCTGCAGGCCTGGCGCCTCAGGGCTATTGGACTCCTTGACCCCAGGGTCACTGCTGTGAGGTGGGTCACAGGGAGAATGGTCCGTGCAGCCTCTGCCACAAGGAAGGTCAGGGCCCCGAGGTTCTTCCTGCAACCCTGGTTTGTCCTCTAGATCCTGAGTGGAAAAGAGGCCATTCTTTGGGGGAGTGGCAGGTGACCTAGAGGCATCAGAAGGGTCCCCGGGAGATGATGGATCCCTCTCATGTTGGCCCCTTGGGGAGGTGGGTCTGGCTAGAGGCTGGACCTGGGCAGAGCTGCCTGGGAGCGGTGTTTCAGGGGAGCCCTTTGGAGTCTCAGGTAGTGTGGGAGTTTCTAGAATCTTTGGGTTCACAGCGGCAGTCTGCTCCTCAGCCATTTCATTTTCAGTGCTATCTGCAGAGTCAGACGCAGGGCAGGGGCCCTTAAGCCTATCACCCTGATCAGAGGGGAATGTGCGGCCTTCCCTGAGACAGAGAGGAGAAAAATACATCTTGTAAAGCTCGCCTGGCACCCCCCACTTCACTGCTGGCCTCCTCGCCAGTACTCACTCTGTCACATCTGCCTCTTGTGCCAAAACAATCGGTTTAAAGTGAGTGGCCAAAGAGGTGAATGCAGCTGGCAGAACCGGGCTTTCTCTGCATGTAGACAGCGGGCAAGGCACTGGGCCTTTCACAGCTACCAGCCTGCCATCCCAGGTAAAGGGAATGAACCCTGCAATTAATTGAGAAGATCGACATCAGCAAAATATCCACAGTACCCATGAAAGAGGTGGTCAGTGCCCAAGCAGCACTGTCTGAGGAGGGAGAATGCCAACCTGGAACAGCCTTGGATGAGGAGGGGGTTACTCACAGTGCCCATGAAAGAGGTGGCCAATACCTAAACATGACTGTCCAAGGCATGGGGGTGCCCACCTGATCCAGCCTTGGCTGAGAGGAGAGATGCCCACCTGGACCAGCACTGTCTGAGGAGGGGTGATGCCCTCCTGGTCCAGCCTCAGTTGAGGAGGAGAGCTGCCCACATGTACCAGCACTATCTGAGGAGGGGGGATGCCCACCCAGACCAGCACTGTCTGAGGGGGGTGGTGCCCACCTGGACCAGCCTGTACAGCATCCTCTTGGCCACTGCTAGCTTCCAGGGCCACTCTGTTCAGGGTGTTCTGCAGGCCAATGGTTTCTTCTTCTTGGTAAACCTGAAAGCAGAAGGCAGAAAACGGGGCACTGACTGAGGCTTCCTACCTTATCAGAAATAAGAGGAATGACAAACCTTAGCCGCTTCACAAATATCACCATATTTGGTTCCCACGATAGCCATGTGAGATCACTTCCCCCATTTTTTCCAGATGAAGTAACTGAGGCTCTGTCCTCCAGACCTCACTTTGTGGGGTCCTCCTGACTGCAGTCCAAGGCTCTCTCCCTATAGCACGTCCCCTCCCCTGTGTTATGCAGCAGGGATGCTTGGGACACAGAGGCATTAGAAGTCTCTTAAACACTGTTCCGTGTTTCCAGCAGCTCACATGGGACACAGGCTGGGCTGCAGCCTCCACCACAGACATCTACTGGAAGTGCCCACCCTCTGCATGGGATGGACATGGCCCTGTGATGACTTCCCAAGTCCACGAAGGCCTCCTAGAATGGCTGATGATCCCCTCCCCTCTTCAGGAGCCTGTTGGGCATTGGAATTCATTCATGACTTACAGAGAATGGGCACAACTGAATTCTCTAGGACCAGGATTTTGCTAATGTCAAAGGTCTCTGCTGAGAAAGAGAACTTTCTAGGGAAGTGGGAGAAGATCTTCTCAAATGCAGGTTCTTAAAGACAGATGTTTGGCACCTGGTATAAACCTCTAAAACCTCTGAAAACTCAGCTGGGAGCCAGCAGCTCCATTTTCAAATTCAAGTATGCCCTTGTATGACGCTCCGGGCAAACCCAGACACCCTTCTGGTGTGTTGTGACAAGCCATGTTTCATGGGTTCTGGTGATCACTTTAAGTGAGCTTTGGTCCTAATCTTGTTTTTAAAATTTTTTAAAATTAATTTATTTTGATTTACCAACAATCATTTCCATAAGTTTTGAGTTTTAAATTTTTCTTCCCTTCCCTCTCCACCTCCCTCCCCAAGACAGCACACAATCTGAAATAGGCTATACATACATATTCCTATTTAGCATATTTTCACATTAGTCATGTTGTAAGGAAGAATTAGAACCAATAGAAGGAACCACAAGAAAGAGGAAACAAAACAAAGCAGAAAGAAAAAAAAGAGTAAATATTATGCTTTGATCTGCATTCAAACTCTATAGTTCTTTCTTTGGATGTGGACAGCATTTTCTGTCACGAGACTTTTGGAGATGTCTTAGACCCTTGCATTGCTGAGAAGGGCTAAGTCTAGCAAAGTTAGCCAGCACACAACATGGCTTGTCACTGCGTTCTCCTGGTTCTGTTCACTTCACTCAGCATAAGTTGTGGTCCTAATTTTAAAGGGGATACTGAGGCAGGGATGTACACATCCCCAATCTTTAGAGATGCAGAGAGATGATACCAGAGCTCTCACAGAGTACAAGACAGCCAGGCCATCTCCACCCAACAAGGGGACATGGTTCATCTGTGCCAACAAGAGGGTCACCCTGGCGATCCTGTCTGTGGAGCTGCCCTGGGTGGTCACTGCTTAGATGAAACCTCCCTGAATGGGTCTGAGAGAAATGAAAAAGCCCCAGAGGTCAGTTCTGCCCACAAGCTCGAAGTGGGCTCCTAGGCAGCAAAGGGAGGCTTTTTACCTGCAGTGGCGATGTGCTCAGGTGGGCCAGGATCTTCTTGCTGTCCATGCCTCGCTGCTGCAGGTAGCCGTTGCACACCTGGACAAGGAGAAACAGAGAGGGGCCACACAGAGGCAGTCATGACAGAGCGCTGGCCACCCAACTGTTTGCCTGATTCTCCCGACTTATTTTGTGTCTGAATAAGTGTCTCTACCCTAGAAGGGGAGTAGTGCTTAGAAATAAATGAACTGCTATCTGACCTTGTAGACAAAGGAAGGAGATTTCTCTAGGGAGGGGTCTCGGGCTTCCACCCCACCCCCCCCAGGACCCAGAGCCAATACAGCCCTCCCATGTCCAACCCCAGACAAAAGTGCTGATGATTTCAGCTGAGGAGTTGAGAAGACGGTGAAATGGCTGGAAGAATAGCCCACCTCTCCAGACACATCTCCTCAATAATGATCTAGAAAATGCACCTAGATCTAGAAATAAATCCTGATGGGGAAATCCAAGATAAAACCTCACAAGGCATCACTTTGCCAACTTGGGTCAGTGTAGGGAGACACACAGAGATTTGTGGCTACTGTGTACAGGGGCCAGGAGCTCGAAGTGCGAAATATGAGCGTGCAGGGCTTGATGGAGGCCTGGGGCTGAGTGCAGGGGCAGGAGGAGGGTCCAGGGGTTTGGGTATGGGTGCTAACTGGAAGGCCCACTGCTCAGAACCAGGGCACACTGAGGAGGGGAGCGAGAGGTGGTGAAGAAGAGTGGTCAAAGTCCTGGGCCCTCGCTGGGCACTGAGCAAAGGTCAAATTCAGACGTGAACTAGAGCCATGTGGCTCTGACCCCAGGAGTACAGCAGAGGCTCAGCTGAAGCCACCAGCCCAGGCTGAAGCTGCAGAAGAATAACCAGAATAGGAGTTCCAGAATAAAGAGCAGCTGGCAGGCTGGGCACTCTGAATCTGCAGTTCCCAGTGAGATGATGGTGGCCAGGTGCAGCAGCAGATCCCCAACTAGTTCTCGAAAGACCAAAACACAGGTCAGGAGCTTGTGGAGTTCCCCCTCCCCCCCATGGGGGCAGTGATCAGACTTTGCCTTGGATCACTTTGGGAGCACTTTTCAGGGCTCTTGCCTTAGCTGTCCCTGAGAACCTGGAATAACACAACACTGGCTGCTTGGAGAAAGTGAGGACCAAAGGTGAACTCAGACTTTCCATCTGGAAGCATGCAGAGCCCAAAGTCAAGGAGAAGGCTGGAAGAAGGAGCCTACACAAAGGGTGCCCTCCCCGCCACAAAGATGGTGGTGGAGAAGCTCCAGACACAAAGAGAATGGCTCAGAAAATCCTCCAGACCGTGGCCAATGGGAGAAGGCCACTGAAACAAAATGGCCAGCCGGAATGCCACACTCCTGGAAGAGTTAAAGCAAGAGATGAAAAAAAACTAAAAACTGGGTAAAGGAAGGAAAACTATGAAAGAAAGATGAGAAAAGAGAATTAATTGAACAAGAGGTATGAGGTCTTCCCCAAGAAAATAACTGCCTGAAAATGAGAATTGGCCAAATAGAAGCTAATGATGCCATGACACATCACTAAATATTAAGACAAAGTCAGAAGTCTGAAAAAAAGAAGAAAATCTAAGTTATCTTACAGCAAAAACAAGCGAGCAGGAAAACAGATAGATGAGAGATAATTTAAGAATTATTGGACTCCTTGCACACCACAACCAAAAAGAAAACTGCCCAGACCTTAGGACCAGAAGGCAAAGTAGAAACTGAATTAAGTTATCACCTCCTAAAAGAAATCTCCAAAAGGAACGTGATAGCCAGAATCCAGCTCTCTGAGGTCACAGAAGGCAGGCAGAAAGAATTCAAATACCAAGGAGCCACAGTCAGGAGCACCCAAAATTTGGCAGCCACCACCATCAAGGATCAGGGATCTTGGAATGGGATTCTAGGAGGCAAAGGATATGGGCCAACAGCCAAGAGCTCAGTCCTACAGGGGGAAAATGGATCTTTAATGAATTGGAGGACTTCCAAGTGTTCCTTATTTAAAAAAACAGTCACATTGAAATGCTGACATTTAAATACATGTGTTAAGAGAAGGATAGAAAGGTTAGCGTGAATGAGTGATTGTGAGGAATAAACAAGGTTAAGCTGTTTACATTTTCATATGGGGAGATGACACATGCATTTCCTCAGAACTCAATCATCATGAGGGGGGTTAGTTTCATTAGACACAAGGTCTAGGAATGGTTCTGTTGGGTTCTGAAGAAAGAAAAATGGAAAGGGAGAGAAGCGGGATGGGCTCAGCCTGAATTTGAAAGCTACAGCAATGGAAGATGTGTCAAGGCCAGGCTTTGAAGGGAACAATCTTGAATTATGGTGTAGATAGCAGTGCCTGCTCCGGGCCCCCACACAGTGGCAGGACCAGACCCCACTTGAAGGGCCAGAAGAAACAAGCCACTGGCACCTGTGGTTGGAGGCAAAGAAGAGGCACACACTGGAGAGAAGGCCACCTGCCTCCATCCACAGGGTACAGCTGTTCCAGGGCCTGACTTTTGCATGCTGTTCCTTTCACCTAAAGGAAGCCAACATTCCTTTGGGAAGCTAGTGAGATTGTGGAGCCCCTGAAGCAAGGAACGGTGGGGCTTGGCTCAGCTCTGAGGGCCACCGGGAGTGCTCCTAGTGTGAGAGGGTGCTTGTCTACAACTGGCCCTGCACTCATGTGGGGCTGCATTGATGGTGAGGGGGAACACAGTCATGCTCTGCAGCTTAACCCAAGGCAGGAAAATCATGTGTCAGGCTGACTTCTCTGTCTCACACACCAGACTGGGCTCATCACAAGTCTGCCTTGATCCCCTCTGCTGACCACTGGCATTGTGCCCTGAGGGGTGCCTTGGAGACTGATTGATTCATTCTCTCCCGCCCAGACTTGACCAATTGGAGGATGGGGCAGCGGTGCAATCACCTTCATGGCCTGGGCCACAGATGGCCTATCCATAGCACTGCTCCGGGCCATGTCCAGCAGGAGACCTTTGAGCTTTCGAGGCAAGGCCAGCTTCTGTTTAGGAGCTAAATTGAATTTGGCTGCAGTCCACAGGATGGCTGCCACACAGTAAACAGAGGCCTGTCAGGAAAGGAGGAGAAAGTCTATCAGTCAGTTAATAAACATTTATTAGGTGCCTACTATGTGCCAGGCACTGTGCCAAGCACTAGAGAATCAAAGAAAGGCAAAACCAGACCCCATCCTCAAGTAGCTCCCAGTCTAATGGGATAGACAGTATACCAACAATCCATAGGGCACTAAAGATTCAAGGGGATCAGGAGAAGCTTCTTGTAGGTGGGATTCTAGCCGAGACCTAAAGGCGCCAGGAGGTGAAGGAGAGAAAAGGTGACCCAGGAAGAATGAAGAAGAAGGGGATAGACGATGCTGCTCCTGGGCCTCTTGGATCTCCTGGGCCTCCTGGGCCATGTATGGCTTTCCTCCCTCTCACTCCACTCAGCCTTCAAGACTCCGGTCAAATGGGACCTCCTCCAGGAAGACTTCCTTGATCCAGAAGCACCAAATCTTAGAGCTGAGAGCTCAGAGGCCTCCAGTCAGATCTAGACTGGCACAGGAAACCCTCAACAACACCCCCAGCCTCCAAACAAGGATTCCCTGTGAGGGGCAGACTCTCATCCCACGTCTGCCCAAGATGCAGCTCTCCTTTCCTTACAGAAAGCCCTAACTTGCCTCTCACCAAGTTTAGGGGCCTCCAAGGTTCCTGCTTTCCAGGCTGCCCAAGGTGTTAATGCTCTGTTCCTCCCTAAGTCATAAAGCATTTGCTTAAAGCATCCTAGGTTTGGACCTGGAAGGGGCACCGGAAGCCACTGAGTCCAACTCCTTCTTTTTACAGATGAGAAAATCAAGGTCCATGTTTACCAAGTGGTCTGCCTAAGGTCAACCAAAGAGTAAACAGCAGAAACAGCATTTGAACTCAGGTTCCCTAACTCCTAAGCCCATGGGCTTTGAATCCCCCTTAGCAGAATGTCAGCTTCTTGAAGGCAAGGAGTGACCCACGAGGTTTTCCTGGTATGTCCAGAGCCCAGCCCAGCATCCTGCAGGTAGCAGGCTGTGAGAATTGTTGAATTTAACGGCCTCTTTGTCTGCACTGCTGCCCTGTCCCCTAGGAGAAGGAAGGTACAGGAAGGCAGGCTTTGCTATCTCCTTCCACGTGGAGGGACTGAAGGGCTTGCCTTGGCAAGCCAGGTCCCCTGGGCTCATGCTGGACTGCTCCATCAGTCACTTATGATGTCTTATTAGCACCCTCTTGTCTCCTTCTACTGCCCCTTCCTGGAAGAGGTCCTTCTCATGCTTGCCTGCTGATCCCTGTGGCTAGTTCAGAACTGTGGTTGTTTTGTTATTCAGTCATTTCAATTGTGTTGGACTCTCCATGACCTCATTTGGAGTTTTCTTGGCAAAGATACTGGAGCAGTTGGCCATTTCCTTCTCCAGCTCATTTTACAGATGAGGAAACTGAGGCAAACAGGGTAAAGTGACTTGTCCAGGGTCATGCAACTACCACGTGTAGCCAAATTTGAACTCAAGAAGATGAGTCTTTCTGACTTCACACCTGGTGCTCTGTCTGCTGCACCATCTAGCGGCCCTAAGCATCTCCCTAAGGGATCTGGGTGTGCCACACCTTGGCACAAAGATTTCCAGCTATTGCCTGTTGCCTCCTAGATAATGGTCATGTGACTGTGATCGGCATTTGAAGCTCCATGAAGTTGCAGGCCATTCCCCTTTGGCCTAGCTCTTCTCTGGCCTCTTGGCCCTCCTTAGTCCTATTCCAAGACCCTGGAGATACTCTGGTCCATTTGAGAACCCAGAGGCCCAGGGGTGGGGAGGGGAGGGTCATCGTTTGGATGTATAAAAATCCCTTGCCTCTTAGTCGCCAGCAAGAGGTTTTTGCCCTCTTGGTATCCAATTAATCAACCAATCAACCAACACATATTAAGTGCCTGCTGTGTGCCTGGCATTGTGCTAAATGCATTGTGCCTGGCACACAGTGAGTGCTTAATAAATGCTCATTTCTTTCCTCTTTTTCCTTTCATTCTTCCTCCTCACTAGAGTTGGGTCCAATAAGGAGCTGTTTTCAAAGTGGGGGTGGAAGGAACAGGACAAAGATGCCCTCCACCTCTCATCCCCAGGCCCACAATCTCTAGTTTTTGTATCACATAGAGATCAGATTTGGGGAGCCAAGTCGTTTCTCAGGGTGTGGGAAAAAGCAAAATTCTCAGAGGCGCTAGGATGCTTCCTAGCCAGTCACTCCTCCACTGACTGCCCCCCTGCCTGGCCTTGGCCATCATGCCCCACCCATACCCCAGGCTGGCCCCTCTGGCTTTGCTTTTCCAGACCTGTTTGTGTAGAGAAAGTGGGATTGGTAGGGCACCAGACTGCTGGAAGCTAAGGACATGGCGAAGAGCCCTGGAAGGGTGGCTGGATGACCCTGTGCCAGTCCAGATGCCTGGTGTGAGGTCCTGCCCCCATCATGCACCATGACAAGGAGTGTGATAGGAACCTGCGCACTAACCTTTTCTGTGACAAGTTTCTGTCGTTCCACTTCAGGAGCCACATAAAATGGGTTATAAGAGCCTGAGAGAGACAAAAGAAAGAGTCAAAAGTTCGCTTCAGAGGAAGCGTGTCTGTCCTCCAGCCACCAGCCCCTCAAACCAGTACAGAACTGAGCCCTTGTCTACATGCATTCACACATACATGCAAATTACCCAAAGGCACCACAGCGCCCACACAGCACCCCATGTCCACACACTGTGACCACACAGCACCCCCATGTCCACACACTGCACCTACACAGCACCCCGATGTCCACACACTGCACCCACACAGCACCCACATGTCCACACACTGCACCCACACAGCACCCACATGTCCACACACTGTGCCCACACAGCACCCCCATGTCCACACACTGCACCCACACAGTACCCACATGTCCGCCACTGCGCCCACACAGCACCCACATGCACACACACTGCACCCACATAGCACCCACATGTCCACACACTGCACCCACGCTGCACCCAAAGGCACCACAACACCCACATGCACCCACATAAGCACCCAAAGTGCCCAAAGGCACACACCCAGAATCCAAGGGTAGACATCAATGCACATGCAGGTGTGAAGTCTTACCTGCATCTTTCAAAGCTCCAAAGAGAACATTTCCTTCGGAGTCCACCAGCACAGAGTCCAGACACAAATAAGCTACGGAAGGAAGGACATGTCAGTGGCTCAGTGTTCCTGGCCTTGAGGCAGCCTCTCATCAGTGTAATTCTTGACTAAATTTCTTTGTTCTAAAGGAGAGGTGCAAGTGGGGTGAGGCCAGCCTGGGGTGTGGGTGGGGCATGCTGGCCAAAGCCAGGCAGGGGGGCAGGCAGTGGATGAGTGACTGTCTATGAAGCATCCTAGCAGCTCTGAGAACAAGGCACTACAGCTCCTGCCCCCCCAGCAGGAGGAGAGCACCAGGCAGCAGACACAGTCAGATCTAGAGTGTAGGCAGCTGCTAGAACTAGAGAAGAGCTTGGAGACCCGATGGAACCAAGACAGTGAGGGAATGAAACAATACCAACCTAGGACCTGTGACTCCCCTGCTTAAGAAGCTTCTGTGGCTCCCATTGCCTGAAGGGAAACTCTTCTGTCTAATAATGATCACAATAATAGCTAATATTTACATAATACCTATTCTGTGCCAGGCACTATGCTAAGAACTTTAAATTTATGACTTCATTTGATCCTTACAACCACCCTGGGAGGGAGGTGCTATCATTCTCCCCATTTTACAGATGAGGAAACCGAAGCAGATAGAGGTTAAGTGACTTGCCCAGGGTCACCCAGCTAGTAAGTGTCTGAGGCAGAATTTAAACTCAGGTCTGCTTGTACTGATGGAAGACTGCCCTTCCCTTCAGCCCCAGCTCTGCTTTTTTGGCTCATGAGCTTTATCCTTTTGGGGCATCCCTGATGTCCCCATTCCTCCCCCTCCAATCACAGTTAATATTTGTATCTAGCCTGTATCATCGAGTGATCCATGAGCAGGGAGCATCCGCACCCTGCTCCTCAGCCCGCCAGTGGGATAGGAGCTTCTTGAAGGCAGGGCCTGTATCCTCTCTGTCCTCTTTAAGCTCAGGGCCCAGCACAGAATAGGCATTTAATAAATGGTTGTAGATGTATTTGTTCCCCAAGGTATGGGCTGGACCAAGGGTGGGTAGACTTTGGAAAAAGTGGAGAGACCAGAGAGAAGTGGTGGGCTCAGAGGGCAGATGGAAGTTTCCTTCCTTCCTTCTTTCCTTCCTTCCTTCCTTCCTTCCTTCCTTCCTTCCTTCCTTCCTTCCTTCCTTCCTCCCCACCCCCTTCGGATCATGGCTTATGTGGAAATGTATTTTGCATGATTTCATATGTGTAATGAGTTCTTGCCTTCTCGGTAGGTGGGAGACAGAGAATTTGGAACTGAAAATCAAATAAAGTGGAATGACCTTTAGAAAAAGAAAAGAAAAAGCAGAGGGGGCTTCTGGGAGCAGCACTGTGGGGGCAGCAATAGATCCTTGGAGGGAGGAAGGGTGATGACCTTGGATAAAGTTGGCTTAGCAGGGGTTGATGGAGGGTCTTTGTGTTGGACCAAGCTTCAAAGAACCTCAGTAGCAATGCTGTTCCATGCCTAACCAAGCATTCTGCTCATGGTCTCTGAGTGGGAAGGCACCTAAGAAGTCTAGCTAAAGAGCTTTGCTTTGACCTTGGAATCCCCAGTGCCCTGCATGATGCCTCACACACAGCAGGGCCTTAATAAATGCAGAGGATTGAAATGTTAGATTATCTGCATCCCATCCTCCTGGAATTATTTTGCTGCCCCACTTCTTACGTCCCCTGGTGCTGGCCCCCAAGCAGCAGCTGCCACCACTGAAGCCCTGAATTCCAGCTGGGGACGGACAGCCGGGTTCCCCCTGTGGACTGTGGGACGGGCACAGACATCAGCAGAACACCCAGCTCTGTGGCCCCAGCCCAAGCCAGCTCCAGGTTCTCCCTTGCTATGGAGTCAGAGGTGGTGATTCCCAGTAAATCAGACACCTGGAGGTACAGAGGGTTACCTGGGTATTCTATGTAGCTCTGAAGAGTGAACAGAGATTCTCGACAAAGTGCCCACAGCTCGTACTCTCCAAAGGGCCTCCCCAGCCTTGACAAGAGCTCCTGTAGAGATACCCACTGTGCAGGCTGGGAGAGACAAACAAGACAGGGATGGGGCAGTGGAAATCCATTAACTCTGGTACCAATGGGCTTCCCTTCAGAACCACAGGAAAACCCATCTCTCCTCAACCAAAGAGGAAGCAACAGGGCTCATGGAGTCACACTCGTGATGCTTTAAAAAAACCCAACCAACTAAGTACGTCCATAGGTAGGGGTGTGTGTGTGTGTGTGTGTGTGTGTGTGTGTGTGTGTGTGTGTGAGAGAGAGAGAGAGAGAGAGAGAGAGAGAGAGAGAGAGAGAGAGCTGGGTGACTTTATATAAGTATATGTGAGTGTGATTGTGACTGTGTAATTTTGTATGTGATTTGTATGTGATTGTGACTGTGAGACTGTGTGCGACCCTGATAAGGGTGGTTGGCTTTCCACACCCTTTGATTCTCACAAGAACCCTGGAGGGAAAGCATTTTGGGGACCCCCTGGAGACCCAGGAATGCTCATTGTCACCTGGGCTGACTGGAGACAGACAGGCAGGATCTGCCCCCGGGCTCCCAGAGGACACTGGTCCGGCCAGGTGACTCCCAGAGTATCCTGGGGGCTTATGACCATATGAAAAGCTATGAGGGCAGTGTTATTGGGGCTTTTGGCACTCAGACTTTGTAATGGGGTGGCTGAGGAGGGAAATCAGCATCGTCTCCCAGGCCCTCCAATGAATCAATGGTGCCCTGTTTGGTTGTTAAGACACCAGAATTTCATGACTCTTTTGCACAATGAAGAGCAGTTGGGGGAGGGACTGGTGCAGAAAAGGGTCTGTTTATAGCTTTGAGAGGCTACAAGACGTGGCCAGAGACACAGCCAGTCTGCATCCTAATCTTCCTGGCCTTGAGGCTGCCTCTCATTAATGTAATTCTTGACTAAATTTCTTTGTTCTAAAGGAGAGGTGCAAGTGGGGAGAGGGTGACCAGGAAGCCAGCAGTATTATTTTCAAAAGGGTGTCAGTAAAAGGTGTTAAAAAGCTAGACAAAGATTGGGGCCCAAGCCACCCCAGGCCTGTTTGCACAGGAGGAAAGGCCCCATGCAGGACTGGAATTCTGCTCAGCACCCCCAAGCCACCGGGGTGGCTGCTCCTGGGGAAGCTTCAAAGGAACGGGTCTGTTTGAAATGGGGACCAGCAGGATTGTGGTTCCCTGACTTTTGAGAACAGTCTCCCACAACTCCAGACAAGGAGGGGACACGCGGCTGGAGGGAAGAGTGCATGACCAGCTGCACCCCAGGGCTCTTGGTCTCTGTCCCCTCTTCCTACCCTGCGGCAGTCACTGGCCTCAGGAAGGGCAGCACCGTCCCCACAAGCCCAATGCGTCCCCTTTCAGAGGCCTCATTTGAGGGCCTATGCCCTGGGTTGGGCCTACATCTGGCCTGATGACTGAAGTAGCTGGGTAATGGCTTTCCACCTCAGAACCAGGTAGGAAAACTGGCCAAGGACCTGAGGTACCAAGGGCTGGATTTTAGTGGGCCAGCAAGGGTGGGGGTCACTGGTTCAGAGACTGTTTTGTATCAACCCCAACAACAGCAGTACTTAGACTTCGTTTATTTAGTTGTGTACGGGAGGAGTGGGAGGAGGGAGAGCCATGGGAATCTTTCACTCCACCAGCTGCCCCTCCAAGAAAGCAGGACCCAGGGAGAGTCTGGTCTGCTCCTCCATGCATGGATGAGTGCAGACAAAGGGGACGCTGTAGTTCTTCCGATGGTTCCATGGTAATATCCTCAAATAGTCTGAAGGGGGTGGTGTCTTGCATTTAGTTAAGCATGCTGGGTGTGGCACTGAGTGCAGAGGTGGGACAGCAGCCCAAGAGTGGGCCCCATGGGTGGGATTCCATGGCTCATCATAGAGCCCTTGGGACACTCAAGAAGACAAGAGTTGAGCATTCCAAGGGCTGGGCCTGGGGCTGAGTCTGGGAGGTCCTGAGGCTGGGTCTGCCTTTAGACTTATGGGGATGTTCTTGAAGGTGGGGGCTGCTTTTTGCCTTTGGATTCCTGGCCTTTGTATCTCAGTGTCCCCTTTTTATGGGGGGGGCACATATGGTTCAAGTCCCCCCAAGGCCATTCATGGCTGTGTGACCCTGAGCCAGAGCTGTAGCTCCAAGAACTAACCCTAAATGGGAAAGCTAATGAGAGGGCAATCTTGGCTTGGCTTTCTGTACATCCGGGTTAGTTTGGAGGCCAGCTGAGTTTGCTCTGACCATCTTGGGGCCTGCTCTGGGGGCATGGTGGAAGCAAGAAGAAGAAAGGTAAGGAGAGGTGTGATCTGTCCCTGATAGAATCTCACTTAGATGTGGAGCCCTTTCAAGAGGACTGTTTTCCCCCAACTCAGTCAGCTTCCTTTTCTCCCCTTTGTTTTTAGTTACTTAAGGAGAAATCCCTCCTCTTTTTTGGGACAACAGCTAAGTCTGATGTTGTGAAAAGTTTCCAAAGCGCCCATCTTCCCATCATCAGCTCTCTGAGCCAGAGGCAGAAACACACAAGGATTCTCTGCCTTTGTCGTGTCTTGGCCCCTCTGGCTATCAGAGTGGTGAAGCCTAGTGACTCCTCAGAGGCAAGTTTTTAAAGGAATGATAACTTAAAAACAGAGGATCATGCACAAATCAGTTCCACTGACATGTGGTCTTCACAATCTTTTTACCACACCAAGTTCACAGACCTCAGGTAAAGAAGCCCTGATCTGACTGCTCCCCAGCTGTAGCTGATTTTTTAAAAAATAATAATATTTTATTTTCCCCTCAATTACATATTAAAACAACATTAAACTCTTTTTAAAGTTTTGAGTCCCAAATTCTATCTTTCCCTTCCTCCTTCCCCTCCCCCCTCCTGAGACAATAAGCAATCCAATATAGATTATACATGTGTAGTCATGTAAAACATTTCCATATTAGTCATTCTGTACAAGAAGACTCGAGCAAAAAAAAAAAGAAAGAAGGTAAAAAATAGTCTGCTTCAGTCGGTATTCAGACAACATCAGTTCTTTCTCTGCAGGCAGACAGAATGTTTCATCATGAGTCCTTTGTGATTGTCTTAGATCATTGTATTGCTGAGAAGAGCTAAGTCATTCACAGTTCTTGATCACATGATATTGCTGTCGCTATGTGCAGTGTTCTCCTGGTTCTGTTCATGTCACTCATCATCAGCTCATGTAAATCTTTCCAGGTTTTTCTAAAATCATCCTCCTTGTCATTTCTTTTTTGTTTTGTTTTGTTTTTAGGCGGTTGGGGTTAAGTGACTTGCCCAGGGTCACACAGCTAGTAAGTGTCAAGTGTTTGGTCTGAGGCCGGATTTGAACTCAGGTACTCCTGACTCCAGGGCCGGTGCTCTATCCACTGTGCCACCTAGCTGCCCCTTTGTCATTTCTTATAGCACAGTAATATTCCATCACAACCATATACCACAGCTTGGTCAAGCTATTCCCCAACGGATGGGCATCCCCTCAATTTCCAATTCTTTCCCACCACTAAAAGAGTTGCTAAAAATATTTTTGTGCGTATAAGCCCTTTTCCTTTTTTGGATGTCTTTGGGAAACAGACCTAACAGTGGTATTGCTGGATCAAAGGGTATACACAGTTTTATAGCCCTTTGGGCACAGTTCCAAATTGCTCTCTAGAATGGTTAGATCAGTTCACAACTTCACCAACAGTGCATTAATGTACCAGTATGCCCATATTTCCTCCAACATCCAACATTTTCCTTTTTTGTCATATTAGCCACTCTGAAAAGTATGAGGTGGCACCTCAGAGTTGTTTTAATTTGCATTTCTCTAATCAATAGTGATTTAGAGCATTTATTCATATGACTAAAGATAGCTTTGATTTCTTTGTCTGAAATCTGCCTGTTCATATTCTTTGACCACTTAGCAACTGAGGAACAACTTGTATTCTTATAAATTTGACTCAGTTCTCTATATATTTGAGAAATGAGGCCTTCATCAGAGATATTTGTTGCAAAATTTTTTTTCTCCAGTTTTTTGCTTTCCTTCTAATTTTGGTTGCATTGGTTTTGTTTGTATAAAATGTTTCTAATATAATAAAAATATATATATTTTACATTTTGTAATGCTTTCTATATCCTATTTTTGTCCTAAATTCTTCCCTTATTCATCACTCTGACAGGTAAACTATTTCATGCTCTCCTAAGTTGCATATGGTCTCACCCTTTATGTGCAAATCATGTACCTCTTTTGACTTTATCTTGGTATATGGATGAGATGTTGTCCTACACGTAGTTTCTTCCATACTGTTTTCCAGTTTTCCCAGCAGTTTTGTCAAATAATGTTCTTGTTCCAAAATGTAATGCGGACCTAATTTATTCCACTGCTCCACAACACTATTTCTTAGCCAGTACCAGATTGCAGCTGTTTTAAAACTACCTTGTTATCTGTTCAATCATTCCGAGCAACAATTTGACCATTGATAAGACAGGAATTGAAATAACCATAGCCTTGAATCTAAAGACTCCACTCCAGGCTCAGCCCTTAAGAAAGTCATCCTCTTCTCCCCAAGCACCACAGTGCAGCAGCCCTTATTGTCTTGAGAGTAAAGAATTGGAAACAAAGTCAATGCCCACCATCTGAGGAATGCATAAAGAAGCTGGGTACATAAATGTGATGGAATACCACTGTACTGCAAGAAATTATGACTGTGCTGAACACAGGAAAACATGGGAAGATCTCCATGAACTGATGCAGACTGAAGTCAGGCAAGTCAGAAAATGACAGACACACTCCCAAATGAGAAGTGAGTGTAACAAAATGACCAAGATCAAGTAGGAGAGAAGGGAGATGAGAGGACATCCCCAACCCAGAGATTGTACATTGTGTATGTTTTCAGACTTTTTCAATTCCAATGTATCACCAGCTGTGCTGGGTTTTTTCCCTCCTTAAAAAATACAATTTGTGCTATAAGATGGTTCTCTGGGAGGGGATGCTGGGGAACACTGCGTTGATCCACAAATCAGAAGACATCAATGCAAACTTGGTTTTTTTTC